CGATCGTAACAGTATAAAGTACCGAAATACGTCGGTAAATACTATTTTCACGAGGTTGGATTGAGTGTCCACGGAGGAATGAGTGTCCAGGTAAGTGTTCGCGAGCCCGAGAATTCGTTAATCCATTTATGTTACTTCTGTCTTCGGATTCATAAATATTGTTAACTTACCTAAGTGTGTGCAAAATATCAGGTTGACCATAACAGTATAAAGTACCGAAATACGTCGATAAATACTATTTTCACGAGGGTGGATTGAGTGTCCACGGAGGAATGAGTGTCCAGTTAAGTGTTCGCGAGCCCGAGAATTCGTTAATCCATTTCTGTTACTTCTGTCTTCGGATTCATAAATATTGTTAACTTCCCTAAGTGTGTGCAAAATATCAGGTTGACCATAACAGTATAAAGTGCCGAAATACGTCGATAAATACTATTTTCACGAGGGTGGATTGAGTGTCCACGGAGGAATGAGTGTCCAGTTAAGTGTTCGCGAGCCCGAGAATTCGTTAATCCATTTATGTTACTTCTGTCTTCGGATTCATAAATATTGTTAACTTACCTAAGTGTGTGCAAAATATCAGGTTGACCATAACAGTATAAATCTGTAAACTACACAGTTATACATGTATACATTTCTTTATACTCCTATGTTACTTTACACTAATACATGTATATACCTCTGTAACTTTACACTTATACATGTATATACCCTTGTAACTTTATACTAATACATGTATATACCTCTGTAAATTTACACTGATTCATGTATATACATCTGTAACTTTACACTAATACATGTATATACCTCTGTAAATTTACACTGATTCATGTATATACATCTGTAACTTTACACTAATACATGTATATACCTCTGTAAATTTACACTGATTCATGTATATACATCTGTAACTTTACACTAATACATGTATATACCTCTGTAACTTTACACTAATACATGTATATACCTCTGTAAATTTACACTGATTCATGTATATACATCTGTAACTTTACACTAATACATGTATATACCTCTGTAACTTTACACTGATTCATGTATTTTATACTCTGTAAACTACACACCTACACATGTATACATTTCTTTGTACTCTATAAACTACACACCTATACATGTATACATTTCTTTGTACTCTATACACTACACACCTATACATGTATACATTTCTTTGTACTCTATAAACTACACCCCTATACATGTATACATTTCTTTATACTCTGGAAACTACACACCTATACATGTAGACATTTCTTTGTACTCTATAAACTACACCCCTATACATGTATACATTTCTTTATACTCCTATGTTACTTTACACTAATACATGTATATACCTCTGTAACTTTACACTGATACATGTATATACCTCTGAAACTTTACACTTTTACATGTATATACCTCTGTAACTTTACACTGATTCATGTATATACCCCTGTAACTTTATACTAATACATGTATATACCTCTGTAAATTTATACTAACATATATATACCCCTGCAACTCTACACTGATTCATGTACATATGTATATACTTCATGTATATACTACTTCACTTTGTATAAACTTTACAGATATATGCATGTATTTATTGACTGTGTAACTTTACATTGCTACATGTAAATATCTCATCATTATGCAAACTTCTACACTGATACAAATATTTGTACTAATTAACTTTGTAAACTTTACACTGATACATTTATATACTACTTCACTATCACACTACTGACTTCAGACTTGTCTTGATGTTGTGATGTATATATATATATGTGCTATTTATAAATATGCTGTGCCGCATTAACTTAACTCTGGTACATTTCGGCGCTCACAGCTAGCAATACAAATTTCTAGCACTGCTCAACCAAGTACTCATTTACAGCTGAGTAGACTGGCAAAATCGGAGTAAAGGATACAATACCGTGCCGCACGTGGCGTGACTCGGACCCGCAACACTTCGGTCACGTGCCCGGAGTCCTACCACTAGACTACCGTACCTTCACTTACGTAAAGGAGAAAAATCTATCGAGACAAAAAGTTTATGGTTTTGTCAATCGTTGTAACGTATATTTATTTGTGTGTATTGCATCTGTCAGTGTTCATTGATCTGTCTATCTAACCCCAACCCTAGGGTAACAGATGTCGTAGAATTAATTATCAAGACATGTCGTTATCCAGTTTACCCCCTTTAGTGCCTCAGGTATCTGAACTTAACACGATTTGTAAATTGATTTCATTATTATAACACAGGTTTCGAATATCGACACAAACATTTCAGGTGCGTTAAGGGAAATTTAGATAAAATTTATCAAAAACATTACATAGAACTTGGCCGTTTTCCGTTACTTCCTTTTAACCGGCGACAGCGGCATTCCACGTAGTTATTAAATTGACAAGGCTAAATAAAAGATTTAGAAAGTTGAATCAAACGGGTTTCGATCAATCTTATTTGTATCCGAGTTAAGCAGATAAGAGCTTGAATGTGTTGTAACCCCTGGTGCAGCGGAATAGTGTATACGGATGTATACGTATTTTAGCGGTGTACGTGGCCGATCACTGCGGGTAGGCCGTTCACAAGCCCATTTTTTCTTATCTTAATCACTCCACGTTGACAAAACTAACGCAATAATTCATATACAACATGAAAAATCCATAAAACATCAAAAATATGATATTCATAATAACAGAGGGGAAAAAATTCCGAAGAAAATAGAAATATTTTATTTTGTGCCGATAATAATTTCAATATAATAATGAATAAATTGAAAATTACACTTCTAATTCATTTATTAGATATTCATCAGTAATATCTGGTCTATAAAATCTCGGTGTATTTTTTGATGTTCGGCAGACATTTAAAATTTAGTAAATTACTAAATATGTTTCAAATTGAATCAGATAAAATTAAGAGAATTAAAATCGTGTCGCTATGTACGTTGAAAGGTGTGTAAAATAGTTAGTAAACAGACAGTCTTGTTATACCAGATGGGTCCCTACAGGTAACTTGAATTACAAGAGTGTGTAATTTGATACAGATATTGTTTATTTAAGTTTATTGTTAGCTAGGGTATAAATATAGGGTACCTAGTAGAGCACGGAGGTAAATTGATCGTAATCATCACACCTGGATGATTTCAAAATGACAGGTGTATTTCTGTCTGGCCTTCACACAAAATGTTTACAATTTAACACGTAGTGCTGGTCTCCTGTCACAGGCTTCTAGCGTGTTACAAATAACAACAATATAGCTTTACCAGGTACAGAATTTAAAACGATAGATCAATCTCAAACGATATATTAAAATGAAAGATAAAATTAGAAGTAATACACATCACAGATAAATTCCCTCACCTGTTGATTACTCAGACTTACCTGTGAGACGAGGACTAGGACCGGTATGAAGTACAGACGAACAAAGTTAATAACATCTTTCGCCATCTTGGTGTGTATTTTTTCTGATAGAGTTATCTCCCCATCTCCCTCAATTTTGTCCAGCTGTTGCATCGCTGACGTCACGAGCGTCAATTTGAGTAGAATTTTACAGGTATGTGTGTAACACGTATACAGGTGCGACACATGTGAGCAAGCATTCCCCATATCATCGTGTGTGCGACACAAGTGAGTAAACGATGCACTATAACTTCGTTTTCCATTGCAATTACATGTTTGGTTTAATTGTTTTAACTATATAAAAACGCGCCCTAAAAAGCTATAAGGCTTCCAAGAGTGTTACCGATTACACTGGGACATGATAATTTGTTACAGCTATATTTGAACCTTACCTAAGTTGTTCAGAGAACTTTTACACGTTTTAGGTGTTTAGATCAACTTTCGGTGACATATATAATTAATGGGGTGGCATTTTTACCGTAAAACGTCTAAAATTACTCCGAACTCATTTGTTTATTGGTCCAAATAAATCTGTTACAGGTTGTAAAGTCCCTGTGACCAGTCACATAAAAGTTCAAACCTACAGGTAAACAAAAGACAAATGGCCACATAGGTTCGCTTTTTTTAAACTATCTTCTCTGAGTAACAACAAACCGCGCGATGCTTTGCTGGTTCGTGTTTATATAGGTAAAATATATCAGGTAAACATAGTACATATATGACACAAACTATAATTACCCTCCCTTTGATGTTTCTACCTATTGTTCTCAATATGTATGCGTTCAGGGAACACACCGTTTACATAGTGCTCAGTGTCATGCTTTGTCTGCACCTATCCAGCCCTGCCGATACAAACATTAATTCCATTGTCAGCACCAGTACTGTCAACTCAATGTCTTTATAACATTTAAAAAAAGGTTCCCTTACCCCAGTACTGTTTCTCGGGTTTTCCCTCCCATCGTCAGCACTGTCAACTTAACGTTTTTGTAAATACGACATCTCTGGTTTTCATCAATAATATGTATTGATGAGAACATGCATGATTTGAATTTCATTAATATCTCAAGACAATGACATTTTTTCCGGCAATATGTTTTTCACCAATATCATCATTCTTGATATCCTTTTCTCTGGAGTCAGACTTCGGCTTAAGCTTAGGTTTGACCTTATCTTAAGAGATGATTTCTCAGTGGGAAAAACATGAACTTAGTGTAAAAATCATACCTAACATATCGTAAAACCGAAGTCAAACGTTTTATTATATCAAATTAACGAGAAATTCTACACCCCGACAATTTCGGCTTTAACATCAATGCTTACGAACAGTACGACATTATGAAGAGATCTAACCTTTTTCATGCATTTGACACGTTCCACTCTCAACACATTTGTCCTTTAGAGATGATAAGAGTGTAAATACAATTGTTCATCATAATATACCATAATTATGGGTCCAAATTAAGTCTGGAATTATATGTTTATTACTTGACTCTTAAGAGTTGTCTTTTATGCCTGGTATATATTTTGTATAACTTTAAAGGGTTTTTTTTATTTCTTCTATATTGGAAATATAACCATAACGAATTTATAATTCTAAAATAATAATTCATACACACATAAATTATAAATACACATTTTTGTCTTCAATTGAAATACATACATGTAACAGTATGGGATATTTTTCTCAATTTGTATATATATATATCAACGGTGATACATAAACATCAATCCGCCTGAAGAAGCCCTAGAAGGCAGAAAGGCCTAGCGGACGATCTGAAAAAAATGTTTTTATTCTATATTTTCCTTCGCAAAGACTTATTTATTTATTATCTACTATATATATATATATATATATATATATATATATATATATATATGATAAATATCTGTACATAAACGGATTCACTGTACGTGTATATAAAACATACGTGAACAGCTACATGCTTTAAATACAAAGGCATACACATATAAATACACGCATACACATATCCATCTTTTCTTGAACGCATTGATATATCTCCACAAACCCAGATATATATGTACATACAAATACATGAGTGAGATCATACAAAAACATACACTTGTACATACAAATACTGACACGTGTACATACAAATACTGACACGTGTACATACAAAAACATACACTTGTACATATAAAACTGACTCTTGTACATATAAATCCATACACTTGTACATACAAATACTGACACGTGAACATACAAATATTGACACTTGTACATACAAATACTGACACATGTACATATAAAAACATACACTTGTACATACAAATACTGACATTTGTACATATAAATACTGACATGTGTACATATAAAAACATACACTTGTACATACAAATACTGACACGTGTACATATAAAAACATACACCTGTACATACAAATACTGACACGTGTACATACAGATAAATGTGTACATATAAAAACATACTCGTGCGCACAAAAATACATACACGTGTACATTCAGATAAATGTGTACATACAAATACATACACGTGTACACACAAATACATACACGTATACATACAGATAAATGTGTACATACAAATACATACATGTGTACATACAAATACATGCACGTGTACATACAGATAAATGTGTACATACAAATACATACATGTGTACACTAAATACTGACACGGGTACATATAAAAACATACTCGTGCACACAAAAATACATACACGTGTACATACAACTAAATCTGTACATACAAATACATACACGTGTACATACATATAAATGTGTACATACAAATACATACACGTGTACATACAGATAAATGTGTACATACAAATACGTAAATTTATAGATACAAATACATACATTTATAGATACAAATACATACATATGAACATACAGATGCATACATGTGTACATAAAAATACATAAGTTCATACAAATACATTCATTTGTTCATACACATTCCTGCAGTTCGCTCCAATAAATGAATTATGTGTGTTTTTAGCAAAGTTATTTCTATCATTGTCCTTGATAACTAACTGTCCGTTTTGTTTTTGTTTCTGTATGTTTTTGAAATTTTGTCAGCTCAAAATAAATTGTAAACTTAATATCATTCGGATCTTGAAGATCCCTTTAAAACTATGGTGGTACAGAGTAATACTCTTCGGGATAGGTATCGGAAGATAATCCGGGAGAAACTCTGAAGTCTCACGAACCACACACTATTAAATAAATACACGTTTGCTTTGATGTGTCACACTGTTCTGTTTATATTTTAATAAACAGTATAGCTAAGTTCCTGTGTTAGTTTTACAGTAACGAGCACAGTTGTGTTCTCGTCCTAAAGAGAACGAAATTTCCGGCATGCGCCTACACGCACAACTCCAGGAAATAAACACTTCGACTCGTATTTATGAAACTGTTGTCATGATCAAACTCATATTTAAAAAATCACAGTTTATAAATACTAGGGAAGATACCTTATTCCATGCTATGTTGTTTGGTGCACAAATAATCTCAACTATCCTAGTTCTACATTTCATTATTTTCACACGTGACATCACGTCTATTGATATTTGTAGACCTTAACCTTGTTTCCCTCGAGACTGACCCACAGGTTCCCGTTCTCCTGCAGGGCGATACCGTGAGGTTCATAGTCCTCGGTCACCAGTGTCTCCATCTTCTTGTTTTTCCCGTGAACTATAACCACGCTCTTGTTGTTCATATCCGTTATCAGCATGTTCTTGTGCTTGTCGTAGCACGCATCATACGGCCGGAACTTCTTGGGCGGATTGTAACCTGAACCACGGATACTTCCGTTCCGGATTGTGACACAGTCTCCCTCGTGATGGTACTTCACTTGTAAGTTCTCGTCAACCACGGTCACGTGGAGTTTGCGCGTGACCTGATTGTCGTAAACGATAACAGACAATTCTCCCGCGCGATCACATGCCGTTATGTGATGAGGTCGTTTCAGCATTCGGGCCAATGGGCTGAACTTGTCCATTGCCCGCTCGATCTGACCTTCACTGGAGTAGATGACGATCTTCCGGTCCATGCCGATGACAATGTAATCATCTCCCGTGACACAGAGACATCGCGGCGTTTCATCTACCCGAAATCTGATGACAGGAATGGTTGCCGTATGAACCTCGCGGATTGTACGGTCTTCGCACGAGAGCCAAAGGTGTTCGGATACTGTGGAGACGGCAATGTCGTACACCCGAGACTCGTTTTGGATCGTGCGCTGTACTGCTCCACTGAGATTGACAAGTACAATCTCCTGACTGAGTCGCTCTAGCAGCCACACATACTCCCCAACTGGACTCATTGAGTGGACTCTTTTATTGTGTTGAAATTCCGAAAGCATTTCCAGGTTTTGCGGAGATGAGGAAAGCGCGGACCGTTCGCTCAAACTGTTGCTGCCTTCAATTGCAAGCGTTCCGAAGACGCGGATCTTCTGTTCCGTACCGGAATTCCCTGGCCGGAAAATGGCAGCCTTTAATGGGATCTCTGTCGGGATATCTCGATCTTCCGGTATCTTTCGTTCCGCATATATGATCTCCATGTCATTGGCTGACTCGATCGCGTCGCGACACGTTCTCACGAGAGCTGACATATTGCTGTAGATATATTCCAGTTCCTCTTTGAACTTTCGGAGATTCTCTTTGTTTTCTTCCTCCATTTGCTCACAAAGCAATACATAGTTATCGCTGATTTTGTCTATTTCCGCCTTCAGTTCCGACGACTGTCTCTGGATGTCGTTTATAACGTCCTTGAAGTAGCCATCGTTTCCATTCAAATTTTTCTCCGTAGCTGCAATCTTGTTTTTTATCGTCGGCAGGTCTCGCTCGGCCTCCCTGAGAAATTGATCGATGTCGTCCGTCTTCTGTATCACGAACTCGTTCAATTCAACGAAAAAGTGTCCATTATGGGTTGTCGCCACGCAATGGGAGCATACGAGGTCTTCCATACAGTTTTTACAAACAAACATGACGTCATTCTGAGGGTGAGCAGGGCATTTCTTGCTGATCGTGCTCACTTCAGCAACAGGCTTTATTTTCTTCGGCATGTTGAGTTGATGGTTTCTTGACTAATTGATAAAAAAATGGGATCCTATCACTATATACTAGTCTCTCATTTCCTACCCAAAGACACGTGTTTAATTGAGCGCAAATATTATTGAATTATAATCGATGATGCTCTTTTCCCGTTTTGGTCCAGTTCTCAAAAAGTTATTAATCTTGTACCGCTTCGATTTAGTTGCAAATCACGCTTTAAGACTTCTTTCATGATGACGCCAATCTGGTTCTATGGGTGCTTCCAGTATTCACTGCCCCGCTCCCAAAACGTCTCTGTCGCGTCGATACACCCTAATAGCTAGATTGCTTGAATGGCGAATGAAAGTAACTTGCATTCTTTTTCCGCGTCATTTCCTTTCAGTTTGTTGAAACGATAATCTCTGAAACAGTTAACAAGTAGACCGTAAGTTTCATGTCATGTGCTCATTAATATATTTGATTTATGTACAAACCAGAAAAAAATACACAATTTTCATTAAAGAACATTTACAAATACATGTAAGTCATTAAATCAGGGCGTTTATTATACAAAAACTATCATGGTAGAAAATGATGCAGAGTTAAACTTCGACATAATGCCCATCGTTTCATTTCCCACCTCGTTTACCACCAATATATCTCAGGGACCGTTTTTATTTTATCTTTTTCTTAAGATTTGTTTTTGTATGATTTCCTCAGTGTATCGCCAAACCCCTCTATGACGCTAAAATTTCACTGGATAAATGGTGGCATTATAACGAGGTTTTTTGTTATGTTAATAAAAGTACTGACATCATAAAAACGAAGCAGAGGTTTTTTTAGCAAAAAGAATTATAACAATCTCAATATAACATAATTATAGTTTCTGTGCTGTATATTTCAGTTTCAGAGATGATTTAAATAATACTATGGGTAATAATTTTGATAATGGATCGCTTTCGTTTGAATACAGAAACGTGAAATTTGACCCAGTGCGTTTATTGTAGTGATAAAATAAAATAAATCGTGATTAAACCTTTAATAGTTTTGTGAGTGGTAAAACATATAGTAGTTATGGGAGTGGTGGTACGTATAGTAGTTATGGGAGTGATGAAACCTATAGTAGTTATGGGAGTGGTGAAACGTATAGTAGTTATGGGAGTGATGAAACCTATAGTAGTTATGGAAGTGATGAAACCTATAGTAGTTATGGGAGTGATGAAACCTATAGTAAATGTAGTTATGGGAGTGGTGAAACCTATAGTAGTTATGGTAGTGGTGAAACCTATAGTAGTTATGGGAGTGATGAAACATATGGTAGTTATTGGAGTGGTGAAACCTATAGTAGTTATGGGAGTGATGAAACATACAGTAGTTATAGGACTGATGAAACATACAGTAGTTATGGGAGTGGTGAAACCTATAGTAGTTATGGGAGTGATGAAACATATAGTAGTTATGGGAGTGATGGAACCTATAGTGGTTATAGGAGTGATGACACATATAGTAGTTATGGGAGTGGTGAAACATATGGTAGTTATGTGAGTGATGAAACATATAGTAGTTATGGGAGTAATGAAACATATAGTTGTTATGGGAGTTGTGAAACATATAGTAGTTATGGGAGTGTTGAAACATATGGTAGTTATTAGTTATGGGAGTGATGGAACCTACAGTGGTTATGGGAGTGGTGAAACATGTGGTAGTTATGGGAGTGATGAAACATATAGGAGTTATGGGAGTGGTGAAACATATAGTAGTTATGGTAGTGGTGAAACCTATAGTAGTTGTGGGAGTGGTGAAACCTATAGTAGTTATGGGAGTAATGAAACCTATAGTAGTTATGGGAGTGGTGGAACCTATAGTAGTTATGGTAGTGGTGAAACATATAGTAGTTATGGTAGTGGTGAAACATATAGTAGTTATGGTAGTGGTGAAACATATAGTAGTTATGGTAGTGGTGAAACATATAGTAGTTATGGGAGTGTTGAAACATATGGTAGTTATGAAACATATAGTAGTTATGGGAGTAATGAAACATATAGTAGATATGGGAGTGATGGAACCTATAGTGGTTATGGGAGTGATGAAACCTATAGTAGTTATGGTAGTGGTGAAACATATAGTAGTTATGGGAGCGATGAAACCTATAGTAAATGTAGTTATGGGAGTGGTGAGACCTATAGGAGTTATTGGAGTGGTGAAACCTATAGGAGTTATGGGAGAGTGTTGAAACATATAGTAGTTATGGGAGTGATGGAGCCTATAGTGGTTATAGGAGTGATGACACATATAGTAGTTATGGGAGTGGTGAAACCTATAGAAGTTATGGGAGTGATGGAACATATAGTAGTTATGGGAGTGATGGAACATATAGTAGTTATTGGAGTGGTGAAACCTATAGTAGTTATGGGAGTGCTGGAACATATAGTAGTTATGGGAGTGATGGAACATATAGTAGGTATTGGAGTGGTGAAACCTATAGTAGTTATGGGAGTTAATGTAACCTATAGTAGTTTTGGGAGTGATGAAACATAGCAGTTATGGGAGTGATGAAACATATAGTACTTATTTGAGTGGTGAAACATATAGTAGTTATGGGAGCGATGAAACCTATAGTAAATGTAGTTATGGGAGTGGTGAGACCTATAGGAGTTATTGGAGTGGTGAAACCTATAGGAGTTATGGGAGTGTTATGGGAGTGTTGAAACATATAGTAGTTATGGTAGTGGGGAAACATATAGTAGTTATGGGAGTGGTGAAACATATGGTAGTTATTGGAGTGGTGAAACCTATAGTAGTTATGGGCGTGATGGAACATATAGTAGTTATGGGAGTGGTGAGACCTATAGTAGTTATGGGAGTGATGGAACATATAGTAGTTATGGGAGTGATGAAACGTAGTAGTTATGGGAGTGATGAAACATAGTAGTCATGGGAGTGATGAAACCTATATGAGTTATTGGAGTGGTGAAACATATAGTAGTTATGGGAGTAATGAAACCTATAGGTGTTATGGGAGTGGTGAAACATATAGTAGTTATAGGAGTGGTGAAACCTATAGTAGTTATGGGCGTGATGGAACATATAGTAGTTATGGGAGTGGTGAGACCTATAGTAGTTATGGGAGTGATGGAACATATAGTAGGTATTGGAGTGGTGAAACCTATAGTAGTTATGGGAGTAATGAAACCTATAGGTGTTATGGGAGTGGTGAAACCTATAGTAGTTGTGGGAGTGGTGAAACCTATAGTAGTTATGTGAGTGATGAAACCTATAGTAGTTATGGGAGTATGGAACCTCTAGTAGTTATGGGAGTGATGGAACCTATAGGGGTTATAGGAGTGATGACACATATAGTAGTTATGGGAGTGGTGAAACCTACAGTAGTTATGGTAGTGGTGAAACCTATAGGTGTTATGGGAGTGGTGAAACATATAGGAGTTATTGGAGTGGTGAAACCTATAGGAGTTATGGGAGTGTTATGGGAGTGTTGAAACATATAGTAGTTATGGTAGTGGTGAAACATATAGTAGTTATGGTAGTGGTGAAACCTATAGGTGTTATGGGAGTGGTGAAACCTATAGTAGTTGTGGGAGTGGTGAAACCTATAGTAGTTATGGTAGTGATGAAACCTATATGAGTTATTGGAGTGGTGAAACATATAGTAGTGTTATGGTAGTGGTGAAACCTATAGTAGTTGTGGGAGTGGTGAAACCTATAGTAGTTATGTGAGTGATGAAACCTATATGAGTTATTGGAGTGGTGAAACATATAGTAGTTATGGGAGTGGTGAAACCTATAGAAGTTATGGGAGTGATGGAACATATAGTAGTTATGGGAGTGGTGAGACCTATAGTAGTTATGGGAGTGATGGAACCTATAGGAGTTATGGGAGTGATGGAACCTATAGTGGTTATGGGAGTGATGGAACATATAGTAGTTATTGGAGTGGTGAAACCTATAGTAGTTATGGGAGTTAATGTAACCTATAGTAGTTTTGGGAGTGATGAAACATAGTAGTTATGGGAGGGATGAAACATAGTAGTTATGGGAGTGATGAGACCTATATGAGTTATTGGAGTGGTGAAACATATAGTAGTTATAGGAGTGGTGAAACCTATAGGTGTTATTGGAGTGGTGAAACATATAGTAGTTATAGGAGTGGTGAAACCTATAGTAGTTATGGGCGTGATGGAACATATAGTAGTTATGGGAGTGATGAAACATAGTAGTTATGAGAGTGATGAAACCTATATGAGTTATTGGAGTGGTGAAACATATAGTAGTGTTATGGTAGTGGTGAAACCTATAGTAGTTGTGGGAGTGGTGAAACCTATAGTAGTTATGGGAGTGATGGAACCTATAGTAGTTATGGGAGTGATGGAACCTACAGTGGTTATGGGAGTGGTGAAACATATGGTAGTTATGGGAGTGATGAAACATATAGTAGTTATGGGAGTGGTGAAACCTATAGGAGTTATTGGAGTGGTGAAACCTATAGGAGTTATGGGAGTGATGAAACCTATAGTAGTTATGGGAGTGATGAAACCTATAGGAGTTATGGGAGTGATGAAACCTATAGTAGTTATGGGAGTGGTGAAACATATAGTAGTTATGGGAGTGGTGAAACCTATAGTAGTTATGGGAGTTAATGTAACCTATAGTAGTTATGGGAGTGTTGAAACATATGGTAGTTATGGGAGTGGTGAAACCTATAGTAGTTATGGGAGTTAATGTAACCTATAGTAGTTATGGGAGTGTTGAAACATATGGTGGTTATGGGAGTGGTGAAACCTATAGTAGTTATGGGAGTTAATGTAACCTATAGTAGTTATGGGAGTGTTGAAACATATGGTAGTTATGGGAGTGTTGAAACCTATAGTAGTTATGGGAGTTATTGTAACCTATAGTAAATGTAGTTAAGGGAGTGATGAAACCTATAACAGTTATGGGAGTGGTGAAACATACAGTAGTTATGGGAGTGTTGAAACATATAGTAGTTATGGGAGTGATGAAACATAGTAGTTATGGGAGTGATGAAACCTATATGAGTTATTGGAGTGGTGAAACATATAGTAGTTATGGGAGTGATGAAACATATAGTAGTTATGGTAGTGGTGAAACATATAGTAGTTATGGGAGTGATGAAACATATCTCTAGTAGTTATGGGAGTGATGAAACCTATATGAGTTATTGGAGTGGTGAAACATATAGTAGTTATGGGAGTGGTGAAACCTATAGGTGTTATTGGAGTGGTGAATCATATAGTAGTTATTTGAGTGGTGAAACATATAGAAGTTATAGGAGTGGTGAAACCTATAGGTGTTATTGGAGTGGTGAAACATATAGAAGTTATAGGAGTGGTGAACCCTATAGGTGTTATTGGAGTGGGGAATCATATAGTAGTTATTTGGGTGGTGAAACATATAGAAGTTATAGGAGTGGTGAAACCTATAGGTGTTATTGGAGTGGTGAGTCATATAGTAGTTATTTGAGTGGTGAAACATACAGTAGTTATTTGAGTGGCGAAACATATAGTAGTTATGGGAGTGGTGAAACCTATAGGTGTTATTGGAGTGGTGAAACATATAGTAGTTATTGGAGTGATGAAACCTATAGTAAATGCAGTTATGGGAGTGATGAAACTATAGTAGTTATGGGAGTGAGGAAACCTATAGTAGTTATGGGAGGGAGGAAACCTTTAGTAGTTATGGGAGTGATGAAGTCTATAGAAGTTATGGGAGTGGTGAAACATATAGCAGTTATTGGCGTGATGAAACCTATAGTTGTTATGGGAGTGATGAAACTATAGTAGTTATGGGGGTGATGAAGTCTATAGTAGTTATGGGAGTGGTGAAACATATAGTAGTTATTGGAGTGATGAAACCTATAGTTGTTATGGGAGTGATGAAACTATAGTAGTTATGGGAGTGATGAAACTATAGCAGTTATGGGGGTGGTGAAACCTATAGCTGTATTGTAGTTGTGAGAGTGCTGAAATCTATGGTAGTTATGGGAGTGATGAAGCATATAGTAGTTATGGGAGTGACGAAACTATAGTAGTTATGGGAGTGGTGAAACATATAGTAGTTATGGGAGTGGTGAAACTATAGTAGTTATGGGAGTGGTGAAACCAATAGCTGTATTGTAGTTGTGGGATTGCTGAACTCTATGGTAGTTATGGGAGTGATAAAATGTAAAATATATAACTACAGTATGAAAAACGGGGAGGGGGTAAATTATGTTACATGTATTAGGAACATTACTACACATAAAGACAGACAGATTACCAAATACAACCAAAACTATAAAACAAATAAAACACGAAATCGACAGTTAGTCACATTTCTACCTTTTCATGATGACCTGTTCCTTAGCAACTGTAGCTGTCCTGGCGAAAAGCTGTCACCTGTTAATGGCGAATATCACGATGAAGTATTTGTGTTCACTATTTACGGGTCTGTTTATATGTTTCTCAATTAAACAATATCTTCTCTAGATCTGATGTCACAGAACTGGAGACATGTACACAGATTAAGTTAAAAATTATCAACGATTTCGTCTTCCTCCGAGGTCACTTGCTTGTTCTGTCTCGGCCTGATATATATTCCCAGTCGAATGTCTATTTAAGGAAATCAACACACGATATGCAATATGGCTGCTCTATGTGTCTTAAACACAGGCACCTGTGGACATGATTTTTGAATGGATGATTTTATAAAAAGTCTTTAATCTTAAATTTAACGGATTAAAAGCACTTTGCAAATAACGAATTAAGAAAATGTGCACCGTTTATAAGTATTCATATTCTGTCAGGGCTAGGGACGATAGACTTAAGACTTAATCAAATATTCTATGAATTACACTCTCATTTTGAAAATTAGTTCAAATTCGGTAAAGTTATTCATGTATATAAAATTGGGAATGTGTCTTTGGCGTCAGTACGGTTATTTCTTTATCTCTTAAATCTGCTAATTTATGCTAATTTATACATTGACACGAATTTCTGCTTGTTGTATGCAGTTGTAGTTCCAATTCTTTGCGCGGAGTTTAATGATCTTTAAAATAAATCCGGTACACAGGTACCTGTGTTTTGGTATTCAGTCATGCGTGAACTCGGTAGAGTATTTAATGTTTGCGCTATTGAATGTAGTAACAAAACACTGGATCAGATTATCATTGTCAGTACAATACTTTAGAACTAAAAGACTAGATGAACCTAATTAACATATATATATTGTGTACCAGTTTAATTATGAGGGTCAATTGGGGTAATGTTTAATATATTCTTTTAAGTTATTAATTTTATACCTTGAGTTTCGTTACTCATCTGTATACAGATACATATCCAAAATTAAGCCTTTATCTCGGAGTCTGTTTAATATTTAATAAGCAGAATTTTAGACTGTTTTTATTGTTTTCTACTGTTACTGACGTCTTTGTCCCATGTGAATTCTTTGTTTATTTCTGGTGTTGTTTGTACCTGAGGCTCCCGGGTAAAACGTTAACTTCACATAAGCGATAAAGGTTGACAGTACAGCATGAAAAGTGTATTGCATTACCAGATAGGTTACCTGGTCATTCCTTGTACCATCTTTAGAAAGACTTATCTCATATTTTAACCCATGCCACTTGTTGGTTATTATATCCATTTAAGCAGCGCATGCCCATTGCTATTTCGGACTAATTTAATGCTACCAGACAAGGCTTTACGTGATAAGCTCCGGGTCAACGAATAGTCATGACTCCATGAAACAAAGGCCGTAAATGTAAAAACGAGAAATTAACCAGTCCTTTATTAAGGAGGACCACCCGTACCTTTATTAAGGAGGACCACCCGTAGCAGAGACCGAAGGGACCCGATAAATTGTTACAGATATATTTGGACCTTACCTGACGTGTTTGCAGTGATTTTACTCGTTTTATGGGGTTAAATCAATTTGCGGTAAAAAATGACACCATCAATGGTTATTTATAGAGCTATTACAGCTATTTTAACAGGTTTACACCAATACATCGGCTGTGTTTTATATAACGTATCATTCATACGCAACCGAGACCAGACATGTAAGACCTCTCAGCGTATGCACTGAATTGAATCAACGTCTCATACACGTATGTAATTCGAGTCGGTCAGGATTTTTATTTTATTTTTATTATCATTTTTCTCTTCTCAAAATAAAACAAAATTTATTTCATACAGTGTCACATATTAACAACAGCACATATGATACGCATGGCTTCGCTTGAAATTCACAGTCCAGCAAAATCTTTATCAATTATAAAAGTTCCTTTCATTAACTGTAAGCGACAGTCGACTGGTCATCAACAATGGAGGTCCGGAGCCTTTTCAAGGTCAGAGTGGGTTAGAGGATAAATTCTGAACTTACCGGGGCGGTAACGAGTAAAACTTAAAACGTATAGAAATGGCACTTGAGGTGTCTTCATGCACTCTTAAATCTTTTAAAGTTTTTCAGAGAAATAGCTACATCCGTAAAAGACAAGGGAGGTCGCTGAACATAGTACGCGATGTTAACAAGTTTGAATGTCTATACCAAACTAGTAATTTCAGAATAAATTGCCGTCAAACAATTTTAAGGCATTATCAATCAGTTTGCGTTTCTCTGTTTTTGCTCACTTTTCTAACTCCAATCTCTTTCTCTAAGTCAGTTATCGATTCCATGGCATTGTATTTAGACATATTTTAATTCAGATATCTCGACAACCGTAATGCTCTCGATGTTTTGTTTCCATTAAAAACCATGACGTCAACATATTACTGTTCCACAGTGTTCCTGCGCGTCACGTGACGTTTGCTTCCACCCAACACCTGACGATTTCTCCCACGGACCACGTAACAAATTTTCCAACGAGTCACGTGACAGTTTCTCCCGCGCATCACCCCTCTATCATCCGGATAGCATCCATTGTCTCTGTAATAATAAAAGTAGAAAATCATTAAGATATTTGCGATTTCAATAGCCTCAACACTTTATGGCGACGTCACCACTTGTGTATTCAGTCATTCAAATTTAAAAATGAGACATTGGCATGAATCCAAAAATTACCCTTAATGAGCATTATTCTGCGGGTTAGGATAAGATCTTTAGTGCAGAAACTTTTGTTTCTGCTCAGAATAAAACTTCCATATGTTAAATTGTTAAGTTAAAATGTAACTAGAGATAATCGTAAGGCCGACTTTTATATTTCTGTGTAGAGTCACCCTCCTTTATCAAGATAATTTTGTTTCTGGTTGCAATATAACACAGGCACAGAAAACGCCGCTTTTAGCGTCAATACACTTCATTTAGCCTTACTCATTTATCAATACCACGCGTAGTCAATGATGAATTCGGATTCAATTGATTATTATTTCTCCTGCAGTGTTTTTCTGTTTGTTGCAATCGCAGTACAAGTTTTAGAAAGGATGTGGTATCTGTATGCACACTCTCTGGGGTCATACATTGTTTCTCTTCCAACAATAGCTAATTTGAAATGTATAGCTGATGTTTGACTATTGGGTGCGTTCCGCATCTTTTCTAGCTATCATAGTTGATCTGTAATTTTGATTAACCCATGTCCCTTATTGATATTAAATGTGTTCTGTCGGTGTCGTTTCGTGCGTGTCGTCTAATGATTCAATTGTAAATTATCATCCTTGTACGGAATGAAACATATCTCACGTCCACAGTGACATGGAGTACTGACTATCTCTTTATGAGTCAGATCCCCCTGAAAAAAGGACCTAAGTAAGGCCATACATTGTAAAGTCCCTTAAAGATCCTCGTACCGATGTCTAAAGTGAAGCTATGCACAGTATTCGAAACTTAATTTTCCTAAATCACTATAACTTTGATAAACTATTCTTTATAAACAGGAGATCCCAGAGGGATCTTGGCGCTCACCATTTTACCATCTTTATTAGTTCTATGTCAGTTTGATCTTTTCTCTTTTTTCCTTTTATCTATTTGATCAGTTTGCCTTTCAACCATCTTAATCAGTCTTTTGATTTGAGAAAGGCCCTTCCAGTACTTTCCGAGAAATAGCGCTTACAAACTTGAACTCTCAAATTCAAGATGGCTAGCTGTACGTCATCTTAGTTTTCCTTTCAGTCCCTACATTTGTAATTCGTAACTTAGAACCATGGGAAAACTTCATGTGCAGTTTGGGAAAGATCCTGGTTTTGTTGTTAGTCTGAACAAAACTATATGCATAACAAGGGACCATTGGGAACATTCATGTGAAATTTGAGAAAGATACCTCCAGTACTTTCTGGGAAATAGCGCAAACAAACCTTGACTCTTAATTTCAAGATGACTGGCTGTCGGCCATCTTGGTTTTGTGATTAGTTCAAAAAAATGATATGCATAGCTAAGAACCATTGGAAACCTTCATGCGAAATTTGAGAAAGATCCCCCCAGTACTTTCTGAGAAATAGCGCTAACAAACTCTCAAATTCAAGATGGCTGGCTGTCGGCCATCTTGGTTTTGTGATAAGTCCCGAAAACGCACAACTATGGATCAAGGGGAACCTACAAAGAAAGATCCCTCAAGATATTCCTGAGAAATAGCAATAACAATCCTTCAATGTCAAAAATCAAAGATGGCCGTCTGTCGGCCATTTCGTTTATCTGGTCAGTCTCAAAAGTAAACATGAACAATAAAGGACCGTTGGGAACCTCATATAAAATTTGATAAAGAACCCACCAGTACTTACTGGGAAATAGCACTAACAAATCTTAATGGTCATAGTCAAAGATTTGTTTATCCGATCAGTTTCATAAGAAGACATGCACAACTACAGACCAAGGGAAATGTACATGTCAAATGCGAGAAATATCTCTCCAGTCTTTATTGAGAAATAGCGATAACAAACCTTCACTGTCAAAATCCAAGTTGACTGCCTGTTCGCCATTTTATTTATCTGATCAATCTCAAAATTCAACATGCACAACAACAGACCAAGGGGAACCTACATAAAAAATGTGGGAAGGATCTCTTCAGTACGTATTGCGAAATAACTATAACAAACCTTTATTGTCAAAATATAAGATGGCTGCCTATCGGCCATTTTGTTAATCTGATCAGTCAAATTTGAGAAAGATCCCTCTAGCGCTTACTGAGAAATAGCGATAACAAGAATTGTTTAAGTACGGACGACTGACGACGGACGGACCACGGACGCTGGGCGTTAAGAATAGCCCACCATCAGATGAGGGTGGGCTAAAAATAATGAAAATATAACAAACCAAAAACTAATCAACTGTGTGTTTACCACCAGGGTTCGTACCAAGGGCTTATTTTTTTTTATTTGTTTAGACTGATTGTTTTACCTCATACCCATGGTACATGAAATACAAAAGAAGAAAAAACGAAAAAACGATACTTGTTTTGTGAAGTTTCACAGAAAAGCACGAGCAGAAATTTTACTCAGGCGTGAAGGTAGTCAACATCGTTTTCCCTTGGTACGTACCGTCAAAGTTGAGTTGATGATCGCCATTGTTGTCCCCGTTCCTCATGAATCCCGTTGCCATAAATGTCGCGAGATTTGGCGGGAAGCCAATGACGTTTTCATAGAAAATGGTTATTTCTGATGACGAAAGAAGGTTATCATCATTCAAATCTCCACGAGTGAAGAGTTCCGATGCAAGTTCTCTGTCCACAGCGGATCGCCTCTCTCGATTGAAAATGTTCTCCTGGAATTAGTTTTGAAAAATAATAATCTGTTAAACATTGTTACATGAAATAAAAAGAGATTATACATTTTAGAAATGAATCAGTATATATACCATGCGATTAAAAATCAGATGCTTATTGGCTAACAAAAGATGTAATCCAAGGCGTCATATCTCAGCCCTCGTACTTTGACTGAGTTAGCCGGACGGCTGTTCTTATTTAGCGGATTTGAACTGTGACAAGGTGTTGTAAGGTGCCATTTATTGTGGTTATAATACACGTAACCTTCAAAACGTTCAACGGTGACAGAGAAAACCGGAATCGGTATGCATAATAAGCTTACTGACAAAAACAGTAAAATTAAACAATGAACATGACGTCACATCGACTATATTGATGCAATTATAAAACTGAAGTATTAATTGATGTGTTGATTAAGTATACTCGTTGCATCCTCGACACTCTAGGGGTTACGCCCGATTTCGCTCTTTGCACCCATGGAATGTCATAGAAAAATCGAAGGCATCGTGTGCGCCACTTTGTAGATGGGACGAAAACAATGTACTGGCCTTAAAGTCGCTCCTTCAAAATCTTTAAAGGACAGGTGTTTTTTTTACATGAGACCAATCAAATTGATAGCCGCGTGCCTTCGATTTTTCTACACCATATTCCAGGGGTGAAGAGAGCGAAAGTGAGCGTAACTCCTGGAATATCGACGATGACCACCTTGTGGATGAGACAAGACTAGTTTAAGCTTTTGATGTACAGCAAAAAAGGATCTCGCAGTCGCGTAACAGTAAAATTGACTTGTTTGAAGTCGGTTGTCGCTCCTCTGTTATGTTCATAGAATGGGTATCAGCCCAGCGATTGGTCAGAGTGTTTTTAACCCGAGACAAATCCAAATGTTAACCGCGTCCCTTCAAATTTTCTATGACATCATATTCCAGGGGTGCAGAGATCGTAAGTGACCGTTACCCCTGGAGCATCGAGGATAAGATCGTTAAAAAAGAGGTACACGAGAACACAACGATAGCTTTGATATTTGTCGTCGCTGATATAAAATCCGGAATATCGATATTAAATGTACATGCTGTACTTTCCCGACATATTAAGAATACGCTCATGCGCTTAGGAATTGCATGCGTGCCACGAATTTTCATACCGACATGACAATGGGAAAATATATACAGTTCACACCCTTTAACTTAATTACAAGTTATTCTGGTATAGAAATGATAGCACTATAAGTTAGATAAAACGTACTATAAACGACATTTCAGTCAACAGCAGAGGAAACCGAACGCTTCAAATATGTTTCGAACGCATAAAAATCATTTTGAAAACGTTGGTTTTGATACAATTCAATACAACATATGGTACAAAGTTAGGACTCATGTTATACATAGAACTAACCGATTTGCGTTTATACCGGCGTGACAATTTTCAAAAGCCCGTCCAATATGCATATGTACAGAGAATGCATTTATATACATGTATCTAAGTGTAAGTTTTCTTTAACATTTGTGACGTGCAAGCCTCTGTAACTTACGTGCTATCGACATTCCTTGGACAGCTTTAAGTCATATAAATGTTTGCTATTTATGATAGTCAAAATTTAAGTGAGGTAAGAGAATAAGCGTGCAATTGATACAAATTAAATTGCTTTCATTTTCATTTTAACAATTTTTATTGCAAAAAATATGCAAAGGGATAGGGCATCAGGCAAAGCCTATATAAGCCTTCTCCTTACAACTTCGGTATGTTATATGTACAGCCATTGAAATCATCAAACAAATATTGCTTTCATAGCCCTATGAATGGAATATATTTTTGTAGTCTTTATATGGGGACATATAGCTGGAATGTACAAATTTAGTATTGACCTTGGTCGCCTCGCACGATGTACAAGGCAAGTACAATGTATAGGTACAACGTAGATAGGATCCAACTTGTAACGATGGACATGGTAATCAATACAACTCACAAAGTATTTGCAGGTAAAAGCGCAAAGATCGTATTTGAGACCAAACAATTGACAATAGTAAATGAATCTTTTAAATTCTCAGGATTTGGAATAAAACAGACTTTCCCTCGAATATTAATAAGTCCACTTCTCTCTCTACCAAACCTCTCCGGAAGTAGAACAACGTGTCTCTTTACACATTGTAGTAAGTCGTACCTGTATCGTTCCAGGCCTGTCGTGTGTTGGTAGGCTCTCTGTAGACATAACCATTAGTGTCAGTAGGGTGAGAAATATACACGCACCACAGCAAACCGACTTGGTCCAAAAGTCCATTTTCTGAATAAAAATAATCAAATCATTACTCTAACTGAATAAAGTAGTCCGTTTATTTCCTACATTTTGTTTTCAAATATTACCATAGATACCCCCGGTGAAATCATATAAAATATAAACTCAGGAATTGAACCCCGGCCGTCTTTGTGAAAGCCGAGTGCGCTATCCACTGTGGCAACAAATCAACACTTTCCAATAAGTGCGAGAATTATATCAACAATGAAAACAAACGCTTTGAACTCATGATGAGCCCGTAAAAATTACATTTCGTCGAACTTAACAATCCGTGTTCCATTGCATGCAAATTGACCACTAGAGAACTTACGAATTTCACCTGGGGGTGGGTGATGGAGTTCGTACATAAAATATTGACCATTTCATTTCGTTTGTGAGATGTGAGCTTCTTTTCAGAAAGATTTATCAAGTCTATCGACATATCGGAAAAATACGCATTAATGAAAATACAGTTACAGTTTTTGACAGTGGCCATGGTATGACAGTCTTCAAACAACAGCGCATGTTTGCCTACGTACTTAGATTTTACTGTTTTGTATGTTCATGTTGTAGCCAAGGTAATTTCTACAACATCTTTTTTTAAAAACGCAGACTGGTCATGAAGTCCAACAAAGATACGCGTCGTTAAGTGGCATTTTGAAGAAATTTAAAAAGCAACAACTTGTTTCATAACAGAAAAATCATGATAAAAATAATGAAATATACAAAGGCAAAGGAAACCCATATTTAAGCATTCTTTTTCCAATGTATTTGTTCCAATAACAAATAGTTCACGAGCCCACCGCATCATCCTTGGCTGATTATTCTAATACTTTTTATCAGTTGTCTAATAAAGATTTAATTTGTGAGGAACATCAATAATAACACATGTCCTTATGTCGACCACGTGTCTGTAGCGATCGATAGACAATTAATAGAAACATTTATACGATCTGCTCGCCCTAGCTCACACACATGGGATATATGCACGTGTTTCGCTCAATGACATCTGACCATACATGCATGTAGCTCTCTCCTAGGGTCGTTTGACCAGGTTAACGTCGATGATGACAATCTGATAGCTTTTCATCAAATCCCGTTACATACCACAGATAAAATGAAGCTTGATTTACGCGGCTGGGCAGCGAGATAGCTAAAAGACTAGAAGCGTTAGGGGTCATTTTCAGCCTCATCGGGGATTTAGAATCAGTGGTTATATTTGTAATCTAGATGAAATGAAGTACGCAAATATGAAATTTCAAATTCATTCGACAACTGGTTAAGAAGATAAGTAAGTATTTTCATACCAGTGTTCAATTGTAGAGAGGAATTAATGTTTGGCACATGCGAATGCTTTCATTTTTGCATGCTAGTTTGCCAAAATCACCATATTTGGTCTATTTCTGCATAACAACGCAATTTTTTGCTATGATAGGGCATCTACATATGCGCAATGAAAAAAACCCAACATATTTGTTACCTAAATCGGTAGATACATTCAAGTTGAATTGTTTACTTGTTATGAGGCCAAACATGACCAATAACGTCCGTTGTGATGGCTTGACGGATGCTAGATATTCTAATATTCTGATTAGCGGTAGTTGCATTTTAAGACTCGACGGTTATGGCCAAAGTTATATTTTTCTTGAAACGACCTAGTTTTCACGTTCAGATTCATCCGTACGTTTTGATAACCGTGCAATGATTTACATTTGTAAACACAGAACATAATTTGATAATTTGCCCTGGTGAAAATATACAAATCTTATTAATTGTAGTACTTACGTTTAAACAGGAAGTAATTAGTGCTGCTTGAAATTATGTCTTTTCCAGAACCGGACTTTTTTTTAGTAGATCTGCTTTTTCTTCAGGTTGCCGTCCTTTTTTATACAGCAATACTAATTCCTCTTTCAATTGTTTCTGCTTGCCCCCTATTGACAGTCACTGACTTCGGAAATCCTTATGATAACAGTACAAGTAATTACTGTTTCTGAAATAGTTAGATGATCGCGCAGACAGCAGATCTTTATACAGGCAGTTCGCTGTTGACCCTTACAGACTTTGACTGTGCTTCACTGTAACGAGTTGCAGTATAGATGTATATATATAACTATAATACTGATTGATATCGGAGTCCGGTGGATCAATATTAACGTTTATATAATTATTTATGCCAGCAGTGCGTTTAGACGATGTTTACACATCATGTCTAGTAACCGTTGTATATAGATGAAGATACACGTAGATACAGACTAATTTGCATAACCGTACGTAATTGATGACGTCACTATGCGACTGGAGTGCAAAACTAAAAGCGGCGTATTTTTAATAACAATTTTCAGGAACCTACGTCATTTGAATGAGGTGAAGAAGAGGCATTCGACGAATCTATTCCTGATTATCTGTTTTATTTACGAACACTTATCAACGATATATACTAATTCTACAATGGCAGTAATCAAACAATCAGAATTGTCAATCATTTTAATATCACGGGTACTAGAATAGTTTGACGATTGTGCCCCTTTGCAAGTCCTCAATTAAATGACAGATTTACAATTATATACCCATTTCTAGAATTAACTCTGCGCAAAGATCGTGGTCCCACTGGAGAACAATTCAGATATTGCTCGAGATTATTAAAATATTTATGTTTGAATATAATTATGTGTAAGTGCAGCTCGGGGTCATTCAGATTCTTGTCTCACACGGCCACGTGTATAAATACAATCAGTCTCGATTCCCTGTTGTGATATAACGTTTAAATGCGACAGCGTTATACAAAATAAAGTACATGTACCCGCTAATAATCGTATGCATATCGGGCTCGCACAAACGCTTTAAACGTACGATATCGGAGAGACCTTTATGCACGACAATCCATGATCCATGTAAAAAAAAAATTAAAAAAAAACAGGGGACAAAATACGCTTGACACTAACGATCGGGGTCACATAAATGCTTGATATTAACATAATAAGGTCCAGATAAACTTATATGTCTTTTATTCGATCTAAAACTATTCAGAGACCATGTCGATGCACATAAATATTGTGAATGTTGCAATGTACTTCGTGTAAAATACTTCTAGGAAAAGGCTTCATAAGTTGGGAAAACTTACACTAATCCCATAGCCAATTGCGATCATATTATGTTTAAAATCGGAACATAAATATAAACCTTTCGCGAAAAAATATTCTTTTCAAACGCCAATATGCAAATCATAGATCAGCAAATTGCTTCCCATTGTTTCGTATATCAGCTTTCTGATAGTCTTGTCAAGTTCAATACGAAGAATCGGTTTAATTTCAATTTATTTCTGATGACATTTTCGGGACTTGCAAAGTCCAGACACTGTAAAAGTAATGATCTGTTTGTACTGAAGTGTTTCATTTACGTGTCTAAACACTACAACCTACGGATTGCACTTTATGAGAATTGATACAAACAAACGATATTCTTATATTCATTATAAAACGTGATTTTCCAGTGGTTAAGCAAGGCCGTTATCAGTTTCATTACAAAAACCTCAGCTGATTTGTGTATGTATGTCGATATAACTCTGTGGTATTATCTATAATGAACAAATACGTGTTTTATTGATAACAATCTCTTGTATTATTTGTCCACCGATAAGTGTCTGAAAAATGACGGATATGTATATTCTAGTAAATGACAAAAAGGTGTGGGCTATAGCTCCTCGACCACCATTAATGAATATTATCTTATCATAAAAGCATCTTCCCACTTGCGTCACTATGGGACAGTTACCACAATACGTCATCACTCCCACACCCTTCTTCTTCTCTCTCTCTCTGCCTTCTCTCATCACTCACAGAGTTACCTTCCCTCATTCCTCACTCGAGGTGATTCCCCATGTCATTACTTAGAGATACTTCCCAACATTATCACTCCTTTCCTTCTACTTCCCTTCCTTATCAACCCCATCTACAAAATGTACCTCTACTCGCCATCACACACTTAGAGTTACCTCTCCGAAAGCCTCAACTGTTCTCGTTCTACTTCTCATCGCGCACAGAAACGAGAAATATTTGTTCATGGAGACCTATCTGAGTCAATTTCCTTGTCGATTTCATCCGTTGTCAGTATAATGTGACCGGGCGGAATGCTCTGCTGGGTGCCTCTGGCATGGTATTTCAGTGATAGCACTACAAAGTCGACATCAGATCCGTGCTACCACCAGGAGGCAATACACCAACATACCCGGTCTCCTGCACACACACGCTAGCACGCATACACACCACACATGGAGGCACGTCCTTAAACGACCTTAGCTGTTGATAGGACGTTAAACAAAATAAAATAAAACCAAACCAAAAATCGAGAATCGAGAAAATCTATTTAGTTACTGATGTCCGAAATACAAATGGGAAATATTTTAACACAAGGACAATACACCGCCCGATAGATCTTACTAGAAGAGTTAACGGAAATCCTTGATTCGCTGCCATACAGCATGACATTTGGCGTTAAATTGTTTTTCCAATTTATTAAAAAATATGAGTGATACATTACAAATTTGTAAAAACATATGTAAAAAATCTTGTTAAAGTTAAGAGAAATAAAAAAAATCCTAAACATTGCAATGGTTACAGTGGGTTTAGTTTGGTCCGTTTTGTGATTTCAAGTAGACGGCACACACGCTTATCCTCAATTCTGCAGGGGGTTTCGACATTAGTCGACTCTTACAATTATGCTGTACGTATTCCCAGATGTATTCTTTTTTCTATCTCCCACCTTTTGGAGTGTCCTGGCCATATACATGTATCATGGTATAGACATCCTGCTTATTCAGAGTTGTTTTTTTATCAATAATTTGATATGTTTGACCCTTATGACATTGAAAGTTAATCTAAAGTCTCTAGTTTTATTAAACCTGACAGTCATTTTCCTCAGCATGTTACACAATATGAGAAGACAAAGCCTTCAAAGAGCGTAGCTTTTGTTGATCTGTGATATTTACTGATTCAGGATAAGATAATACTTCTTTCAGAATGAGATAAGATAAACTTAGCTATTCGAGAAATAACAATAAAACATATGCTCTAATGACACTTAAGACCGACATAACAATAAGAGGTACATTGTAACCGGGACAAGTTCCGCCCATGTTTATTAATGTCCGTTCTGGGAAGTATAGCAGCACGTCCTTTTTAAAATATTATTCAACTTTTCATGACGGAAAATCGGTTGGCCGAACGAGCCCCGCCATTGAGTAAGTTCGGAAAGGCATTCGAGTTAGTTCGGCTCCTATTGGAATTAGCTTAATTATGACGTTAAAAAGCATGCAACGTCAGATTTTACCGCCAATTTTACGACTTTTATGTATTATATGGTCCGAACTTGCCACAGTTTCATTGGCCGAACCTGTCTGGGCCCAAATTGATATTTCAATAAGTTCGTAGCATACAGCAATATAATATGGTAGTAATTGCTTGGCTTGGCTTTTATGTATATCATTTGAAGATGTCAGTGTGTTACACGTTTGACCGTAACAAAGGAGCAATTCCGTTTACAGAAAGTTCACATAACTAGATTTTATTTCTATACCCTCTCCTGTGCTCACGCTAGCCATTCGCTTTTTCGTAATTTAACTAAATGAAATACTTATTTGCGAGAGCCTTTTGCCCTAGATAATTCGCTAAACATTGTGCATCTGCGTCGTCTTATAACATCGATATCGACAGGAAATTAACAAAAGCAGCATCTCGGCCAGAATATGTCTGTTGACTCAGTCAGCAAAACGCTTGACTTACTAACACGAGTAGCCTTTTCCAATGCAAACATATATGTGATGGAGACAACCAGGGCGCTGAGAAACTAAAGTATAAAAGTTGAATGGTTTCATCCTTCATTCCAAAGACATTCCAGTGACAGGTCATTTTAGAGCCGTAGCAAACATGCGAATTGTTCATTTATCCGATTCCATCATTCTTCAAGGGAACAACTTTATTTAAATGATATTTTGTCTCATATTTGTAGGCCTTACGATCAAAACTAGGCATGGTGGCAGCCACCCGAGATACCTGATGAAATGACCACTTATCAACAAGTTATTGAGTTGTTGCAATTTAGGACTATTTTGCTTATACTTGTCCCGATCTTTATCGTATTAAAACGACACTATGAACGTTCCCGATTGTAACGTCCGGACGAATATAGGATATATAGATATTATGTGATGCACCGTCCGTCGGAGCTCCTGTTGTCACATGTATTAAAAGATAATAATATATTGACATAGGCGATTTTTAAAAGAAGAACAGTCTCAACTCATTTCCACCTGTTCTCCATCAATTATTAAATACTATTTCATATTGGAAATATATGAAAACAGAACAGACAGACGGGATCTGAGAGAGGAAGGCTAGATACTGGATCAAATAAACATGTTAAAATACACATATTTAACTAACAATAGAACAATGGACATTTTTTAAATATTTAACTTAGACCTATCATAACTTAAATATAGCAAAAATTAACCACGGAACAAATGTTCGACGTTAAAATGCATAGTCTATTTTAGTTGAAAGTGTACACTTTAAAAAAAAAGCAAATAATAATGAGTTTTGGAAAAATATACCAAAAAAACGGAAAAACTGTTGCACTTTAAATTGTATTGTCTCTTAAATTTAAAAGGGAAGCTGGTGGGTACTGTACGCATGTGAACTTTGCAACTATGTATAGCTTCAATAGAAGGTTCAATTGTAAAGGAGAGAGAAGATACCCCGCCAGACCCGTTTGATAAGAATTCAGTAGATATGTCACCAATCAATTCTAAGTAAACAAAATCAATTGGGTACGGAAAACACTTGAAATATAGACATGTAACAGGAGCGAGTTCCAAGTTAATTGCCCCTGGAAGCTTAACGTTAAGCATTTAGGGTAATTTGCTTACATGTACCCGTTGTTAGTGATATCCAGGGGCTACGCTCACTTTCGCTCTCTACACCCCTGGAATATGTCATAGCAAAATTGAAAGCACGAATATAGCTGTTTGGTTGGTCTCAAGTAAAAAGACCTGACCAATCACTAGACTGATATATGTCTTTTGAAGATAGCAAAGGAGAGACGCCTGACTTCAAATCATGTCATTCTTTACCGTTACGTGACCGCGAGATTCTTTTGATGTACATCAAAGGATCGAACTAGTCTTCTTGTCTCATCAACAAAGTGGCGCACACTGAGCCTTCAATATTGACATGACATATTCCAGGGGTGTAGAGAGCGAAATTGTGCGTAACCCCTGCATATCGAGGATGGTGTAATGTGACCGGGCGGAATGCCTTCGGCATGGGACTTCAGTGAGATAGCACTAAAAATCGGCATCAGCTCCGCGCCAATACCAAAGCGGCAATTACACCACCATACCCTGTCTCAGGCACACGTATACACATGCACGCATACACGACACACGTGGAGGCACGTCCTTTACCATCAAGGGTTTTGACAAATTAACAACTCAACTTAAACGAAGACAATTGCGTTTCAACACATACATGGACATCTTCATATAGTGAAAACAATTTTCATGTTTTATTACTTTTTTATTTAGATAAAAACACTTATATAGTATTGCATTCTGAGTGAAAAAATTCCATCACCTAAAATGTGATACAGACAGGCATTTAACTTTGTTCAGAGAGTATCGTACTATGACGTCACAAACACGTCACACCCCATCGGCATTCATCGGTTATTTTCGGAAGGATGAAAAGTTACTAGAAAATCTTGAAACTGATGTATCAATGCACATGATTATATATTTTTGATTTTGAATTAGTAAAAAATTAAAATAAAAACTGACTAGTAAAAATTAAAGAAATTAAAATCCTGCTTTTAACCATAAACTTTACATTCTCCTTGACAGTGTTCCTTTTTTTAAACTTCAGTCGTTAGTACAATGAAGGACACAAAGTCGTCAAATTATTTGGCTTGTAGAACTATTTACATAAACACATATTTGTCATTGTACTGGAGTAAATAATTTTCACATGGCTCCCGTTTACTGATATGTCGCGTTGAAGATCTAACAACATCCCGTAGAGGGTCATGTTCAGGCGACCTTTGCTTTAACCAATCAGATGAGAGCGTACGCATTTCTGTAAGTGATGATGTAATGATTTCGGAACACACTTGCTATACTAAAAGACCAAGAGGTGTCAAATGAGCATCGAAAATGGCGGCGCCCATGACACCACGCCGTGTCTATCTACAAGACAACGTTTGTACAATTTGTGGATTTTGCTTTGAAATAAGAGAGACTTCCTCTTCTGGTGATGTTGTCGTTAAAAAGTTTAACAACCTGAAACTAAAATTAACCAATGACAGGCTTCGCAATATTCAAACTATCACTGGACCAGACGAAAAAGTGGATTTTGGGCTACGAGGTGTCTGCATTAAATGCTACAGGTCCTGCTTTCTGATTGGTTGAATGNTCTTGTGTGACGGAGCCACTTGTTAGGCGTTGATGAAACAATGTACTTAATTATATTTACATCTATACACATATATATGCAGGTACATGTCCATACATACACCGCTACACTTTCACTGCTCACATGTTGTCACTCCAACGTTCCTACCACAACTACCCTCACCTGGCTACACACAAGCATACTAACCTTTTACTACTCCCCCTTTCTGGTCACACCCAACACCTGTTAATTCTCAACAGCTCCCAGTGGGCAAATGACGTTGGATCAAAATCAGACCCTGACGTTGGATTTACATTGGATTTTGTTTGAAAAGGAAAGTTTTTTAGAGGTCAAAACCTGACGTTGTATAAACGTCAGAAACCTGACGTCTAAGCAACGTATTACAAATGTACATACCTAGAATAAGCCTGACCTTCATGTAGCTGTTTATTTAATGATATTTTCAGGATTCTGTACAGGCAAGTGTGGATATCATTTTTATTTTTATTTTGACACCCCTTTTACCAAGACGTTCAACCAGTTCTCCAACTTTTATTTGAGTCACATACATACAGGTTTGAACCCACAAAAACATTTTCTGAATTCCAAACAATAACACAGATACCAAATTTAAAAAAACACAATATTTATTTTGGTCTCCCCCTCCGCCGCGTCTATCTGATTCATATTTTAAACAATATGCGATTACCATATCCACAGCATGCTCTGTGGCATCTCTCGCCGTCGGTGTTTTGAGGGCACTTTCTGCAATTAAAAAATACAAAATATTTTATTGAAAGTGACTCTGCCTTATTACTTGTAACAATTAACTCATTATTTACTCTCAACATGTTTTGTTTTTACTCCTAACGTTTATAAGGTGTACATTTATGGTTTTGCGATATTATTTACTATTCCCCACATTAATTTTTAAACTGAATCATTAGACGCAGAGCAAGCGAAGTGACTAGTGTGATAAAACTGGCCTTACCTTTCACAACTTGATACACATTCAAGCTTCCCCTTGTTCCCCTTCATGTTGACGGCTGACATAACATCATTTGTCATCAACCTGAAAATCATCCAACAAAAAAACCTGATTTAAATATCATGAAATATTTAACATGATACTGTCGAAATATCGGCACATCTGATGTAGGTTTATTACAACTTTTACTTTATTTTATACATACAGAAAGTAAACAAAAGTGTGCCATTCTACAATTACTAAGATTTTCTTACTATATATTGAAAAATCGTGGAATCAAAAGTCTTTTAATGGAGACCCCACTTCATATCATGATTATAATGCATACCAAGTTTCAAAGAGATCGGTCGAAAAATGTAGGAAAAGATTGCCGGACAAACAAGAGTTTACGCCGTACGGACAGTGCCATCCAATAATACTCCCGTTAAATTTGACTGATAACTGATAAAAATAATGTGTTCTTAGAAACAAGTAGATGTTTAACAACAAACATGTAAAAAAAAAAATCTGAATAACACTAAAAACATGTAAATAATATATCATAACATAATACTTGTTTTTTAAGAAAATAACATATCTCACCAGATTCTGTTTTTCCTCCAGAGTTTTCAGTTTTTTTGTCTAAATCATGCAGATTCTCTGCTGAGGTGGCTGGTGATGGTAAGTTTGCCTCTGTTCCCGAGGGTGCCATGGAGCCACACCCATTAGCATTGTTTTGGATTTCTGTCCTATCTGTCAGCAGGTACATGATCCTTTTCTGAAATCCTATGGAAGAGGCAATAAAATAGTATAATGAGTCAATTATATATGAAAGGAGACAACACAAACACTTTAAAATAAATTGCCTTGTATTTTCTTATTCTTATATTATTTCGCTGTCATTTTTTTTGTTTGTTTGTTTGTTTGATTTTGTTTAACGTCCTATTAACAGCTAAGGTCATTTAAGGACGGCCTCCCCTGTGTGCAAGATGCATGCGTGTAATGTATGTGTGTGTATTTTGGGAGGCTGCGATATGTTGGTGTTTGTCTCCTTGTGATAGCGCGGAACTGATGCCGACTTTCAAAACAGTGGATGTGCAAAGGAATAAAACTATTTTGCTTTCAGTTTTTTGCAAACAATACATGAAGAAATCCCTCCATATGAAATAAAGATTTATATTATTTATTGAACTTGATTACTAAATAAAGTGACAATTTTGGAAAACATCTTTAGCTGTAATAAAATGTTACTGGTCTCTTTCAAATATAACAAATTCACTATGCCTTTTATTGAAAAAAAACCACACATCAACTCACTTCCTTCAGACATTGGGAAAGCCTGGGGTTTGTTGTCAGACTTACTCCTCCTACCTGTGCTGGTATGTTGAGTTGGCAATGGCGATTCTCTGACAGATCTTATGTGAAATCTATCACTAGCAGATCTTGATCTGGACCTCCTTTCTCGAACTGATCGAGACATTGACCTTGACTTTGATCTCCTTTCTTTAACTGATCGAGACCTTGACCTTGATCTCCTTTCTCTAAATGATCGAGTTCTTGACCTTGACCTTATATAGGAACACGGTTCTTCTCTGCTTTGGGATGTAGGAGATCTAAAAAAAAATGCCATTGGCTGATTCCTGGATACATCTCTGTATGACTGGAGTCATAAACGTGTTTGTGGTACGTGACCTTGACCTTGATCTAGATTGAAATCTGAACCTGCCATTATGTGACTGTCTTCTAGTAGACCTACACGGATATATGTCTCTCCCTTGTGATCTGCATTTGTCTTGTTCTGATGACCCTATTTTTGACCTAGGCTGTGATCTTTCTAAATCTACTGACCTTGATTTTGACCTACTTCCTGCCCCTGACTGCTCTACATTTGACCATGACCTTGACCTACTTCTAGTATGTGACCTGAATCGCCTATTACATGACTTTGACCGCTCTAAGTCTAGATCTGCCGAACTTGACTTTGACCTTGATCGTGACCTAGACTGAACAACAGGTGACTTTTGTTGGTCAGATCTGTTGGGTATTTCACTTAATCTGTCCTTGCTATGCACTGTTCTTTCTGATGATTTTCACCTCTCCATCACTGGAAGTTTTCTTGGTGGGATGGGCAAAGATTTGCTTCCTGAAAGAACAGAAACATTTATATTTTAAAACTATATATTTCAATGAAAGATAAATAAAGCACATGACTTATCTGAAGGATTTAACCGAAATCTAAATTATGGTTTGGGAAGATAATCCTTGCATGCAAACATATTTGTATGCAAGGGTTACAAAAGTTTACATGCATGTATATACCTATCAATTTAATGAAAAATAATACATGAGCTGCCAACAACAGGTTGTGTTATCACAGGTGAAGTTTAACCCTGGTCCAGCTGTTTTTCATCACTTTCATCTAAATCGAATGAAAAGAAATATGAGATTTAACTAAAGTAGGCGGATTCATCAATATCATATGCTTCTACCATAGACATATGTATCCCCAAAATATGTCCACACACCAAGTCCATGTTCATATATAAATTATAAAATATTGGTTAAAGTTCATTCAAAGCAGGAGTATACATAGATACATTGCATAAACCAAAAAGGATTTTATTTCAACAACAACAAAATCCATTAATTCAATATGTTGATAATATAATATCAAGTAAAATCATTGATTCATTTTCTGAGATGCACTATATATATTCCTTTGTCATAAAGTATATTATCTAGGTAGTTACCATCAACCATTTTCCTCTCTCTTTTCCCAACTCTTTGCGAGTCATTATCTGTTTCCAAGGATGTTCTGCATAAAAGGGAAGAGAACAACCATAAGTACCATTTTGAAGATAAACATGTCACATAGCTATAGTACTATCTTTGTTAATGGTCATGTTCAATCAAGTATACTGATAACAGTTTAAAATAAAAATCTACATAATGTACATGTATTGCCATAAGTTTTATGTGTTTTTTTAATTCTCAAATTTCGAAGAAAGTAGTTTTGTTTTCAGCAAATTTGGCCACATACATTCTTTAATGAACTGAACGAGTACTAATACTTTCACATACATATATATAAGAATAAATACATACCTGATCGGCACTTTTTCTTTATAACTTGAAATTTTCTCCACTTATCTGTTGGCTCTCCTCATTTTCATGACCTTTTCTGCATTGATCCCTTTAGGCCAATACAAAAACTTTCCCTTGACCCATAAACTAGGAACTACTCATTCCTCCTCTCCTGGTTTCCTTCCATCCTAACAGCACGTATCCAAGAATTATTTTTTGAAAATAAAATAATAATCAACTGGTGAATTAATTGAAGCATTGTGAATATATATATAGCAATAATATATGATCTCACTAGTTTCTCTTTACTGACACTTTCTTTTCAAAAACAGATTTTAAATTGACATTTAATACAAACACACAACAATAATGTCCATGAAGATGTTTTTTCATACACAAACTTGATATGTCAGTTAAGTAGTTTGTATGTATTTATTATTTTTGTGACTCATATGAATAAAATGCATTTTTTTTCAATGCAGATGCATCATGCAGGTTTTTTGTTATTTGTATATGGATGAACAAAATTGTTGACAAAACATCACATTAAAATAAATGGTTCTTACCATATATAGATTAATCTAGGCTCTCATTTGACTCTTGAAACTAACTTTTTCAATCCTAAAAGAATCTTAAAAGATTTATTGATACTGAATTATTGAAAAAATGTTTCGACTCTCCATAATATATCAAAAGTAATTTTACTCCTGATTGCAAAGGGTCAAACAAAAGCCTCATAGTAATCACATTCAAAACTTCTTTTTAAAAACAAACTTTTGTGTGTGCCATTTGTTTTGAAATTTCAAACTTTAAAAAAAAACTGTCCAATGTACATGTATGTATACGTACTGGTCAGAAAATACATATTTACCATGGATTTTTTCCACACCATGCAATAATGGCAGCAAGAAATAGCCTCTTCTATAAGGCAAGCAAACTACTTTTCGGGATACCTCGTGGGCTTCAAGTTACCTTCTTCTTTTCTGAACTCTGTTAAAGTTTTTGATATAAGCAATGCTTATCAACTTGGAATTGAAAGGTTTTGAAAACGTCTTCGGTGTCCTGTCGACGAACAATGTCACATACACGTTTTCCATCGTGTCTCTTTTCTTTAACAAACGCATACTCCTCATTTTGTAGAAGGAGACAATCATTCCCAATTTTAGTTGAAATGTAATGAACATTTGTGCAGTTTTCTTTTCATGTTACGCATGCACTCCACATGTTTCCATTTCTGCCAAAAAATAGGATTATTTGCGTTTCTTACCAATTTTTTAATTGTTTGGAGATGATTTTCAAATGGAAATGATGACATGTTGTTTAAAGAACATTTGAATTTTTTAACATCATCAGCGAAATATTTCAAACTATGGACATTGTAAACACAGAAAGTTGTGGTCACTTGAATCGAGTAGAATGGAAATGGCTACAGTTAGTGATAGAAAATGATGGTATGTGCTCTTTGGAACAATTTTTCTAAGAACAATTGGCCCAGTACACAGCAATACTTGTCGAAACTCTGTGGCTTTCAATCTGTCAAGTTCTACTAGTGGTCTAGGTTGTCGCACAAATTCAGACGGAAGCTGTCTAGAAAAAGACAAAAGTTCATTGGAAATTTCATAAATCCGATTTTGTGAAAGTCTGCAATCAGGTGGACCTCGTCGCAGAAACCACAGTATTCTCTTCACCAATCCGAGGCAAACCAATTGCATGTAGTCTAAACAAAAACCTGTTACACATTTGATACCAGATGCTGAAAGAGGAGATACTCCCATGAAAAGTAATTATGTTACTTTTCCAAGTGCCTTTAACTATACACCTTGCATAATATCCGGTGTGTCCTTTGACGCATTTTAGAAATGCTCTGGCAGGGATATCACAAACAAAGGATTTTATGTCAACAAAGAATGTTTTAACCTCAAACACCAATCCGTTTTGTTTAAGTTGCCTAGATTCATCCACAAAATCTCGCGAGAAATCATCCAGTGAATTTGGCTTACTCTTTTCTAAGTACAGGGCTACCAAAAATGGACTGCAATTACTAAAACTACATATGATTGGCCAGAATTGTGTTCCAGAAGATTTAAACAAAGGGACTTCATCAATGTTAACAAGCAATTGTATGGTGTCATTGGACTCTTTCCAGTCTGATATTTGAGGTAGTATCTTGCTTAAGCCGTTTTTATTTCCAATATATGTGTATTTTCCACCACATCTCTCCTCCACCTGAACCACCCTTGGTGTTTGCAAAAGTGCTCTCGCATCTTTTGGAAGCCTGTGACCTTCATTTCGCCGAATCGCCAATATTTCATTGATTCCACTTGGTGTACAATGACTCCTTGTTGCCCATACTGCTTTTCATGCAAAGTTTTGTTGATTATCATCAGCGTTTTGCTTCTATGTTCTCTGTAAGTCCACTTTTAAAAGCTGCTGCGCACTTTTCTGTATCTATTCGCGCTCTACACTCCTGGAAGATATCCAGCCCTCGAATGCATTCATATGGAAAATCTGAGGCAACATAAACAATAGTCAATTTGCATACCTTAAATGTCCAAGGTCACTTGGGCCTTTCCCTTGATCTTAATTCCATTTCCTGTAGCTGATGTAACCCTTATATCAGCCGGCATGACTAGTTCAATCTCAACGAGCCTGTCATTAATTATCGTCACACTAGTCCCTGTATCCACCTCATGGATACACTGTGTTTGCCCACAAACCCTGATATCCTGGCGTCACATTATCTATCTGTTGCGGCTGTACACGATTCAATTATTTCCGGCTCATCCTTGGCATATATCCTCGCCTGATTCAAACGTACGTCCATACCGGGCGACACCGATATCCCTACCTTCAGGCTCTCATTCAACGTCTTCACATACAAGAGATGGTTTTCTCTCAACTGCTCCCTTTCCTCCGCAAAGGAAGCAGTCCCTAGTTTGACTGTTTGTCCAGGCATTTCACAGCAATGTGTCCAACTTTCTGGCAGTGGTTACATATGGGCTGGCCATCCGTTGTCCTCAAATTTCGACCTACGTGCTGTGCTCGTGCTCGTTTTCTTCCATTTTCACGTTCTCTCCAGTCAGTTCGGAAAGACTGGTTTGCTTAAACTTCATGAAACGCCATTTTCCCAATTTGAGTCGCTAGTGTGCTGACTTGAGCGACTAACTCTCTTACGTCGTCCCTCAGCGATGGTTCCCCTCTCACTGCATTACATTGCCCGGAGGTCAGTTGGTTGTTACATTCCTCCCGTTTGGCTGTGTTAAAGGCTTCATATAACGTTTTTGGGTTGGACAACAACACAAACCGTTTGATGTTGTCATGGAGTCATTGAACAAAATGTTCCTGAACAAGTGTTTGTCTTTGCTCGTTAGGCATTTCACTATAAGCTATGATTGCTAACATGTTAATTTGTAATGCAAAATCATCAACACTCTCCGACTCTGCTTAGCTTGGAATAGCGTACTGTAGTACATAGATTTGAGTTCCGCAAGCATGAACCGTCTTGTCAAGTTTTGACATAATTCTGTAAACGTCAGGTCTTCATCCAGTGTGTCATAGAACTCAGCTGCTCTGTTCTTTAAATATGCTGGTAAGATCGCAGCCCTTTTGGTGGCATTCCATCCATTTACTGATTCTGGTGAAGTTTTTAATCCATGAATCGATTTCGTCATCTAGCGTTCCATAAAATATGGATGGTTTCACACTCACTCCAGCACGTTCTAATTGCACGGATTTTAGCACCACCGACCTCTTCAAAATCTTCCTCCGTGAAATCTATTTGACATCTTAGATTTTTACGTGACATCTTGTTTTACGACTTTGTTTTATAGCTTCAGTTTTCTATGTAACGCCATGTTCATTTCAGTGTTTTAGATTATGGAATCCCACCGAATGTATAAAACATCCCACCGCTTCCACCATATTGACGGAGCCACTGGTTTGTCCGTGATGCCATGATTATGAAACAATGCACTGAATTCTATTTACAGCTTATTTACGCTACACTTTCACTGCTCACATGTTGGCACTCCAACGTTCGTACCACAACTACCACCTGGCTACACACAAGCATACTAACCTTTTTCTACGCCCCCTTTCTGATCAAACCCAATACCTGTTGATTCTCAACAGCTCGCTCCCTGACTCTCAGACTATAACATTTCTCATTTTAATAGCATTTCAACACGTTCCTTCATTCATAATCACCATCTAACCCTAAAACAATCTAATTATCAGATAACCTCTCCTGACACGACCTCCACACAGCCGCGGCACTGACATAACTCATTAATTAGACTTTCTGACCTCTCCCTGTCCGACTCTCCCCCTGGTCAAAGTTATCGCTCTTTCACACTAGGATTCATAAAGATTATATTAAACCGAATTCAAGACCTGAACTGAATTTTCAAGGCCTGACTTTGCAGTCAAAAGGTAAACGGAGAGAGAGCAAGAGAACAAAAATAAATGCTACAAAATATTATCCTCGGTATAAATGCAACATACATGGTCATAAATAGTGTTATCCCAGTGGGCACATGACGTTGATGCAACGTTGCCAAAAGGTCGGTTTCTGGTTGTGGTAAGGTTGTCAGTGAATTTTTTATGAACGTCTTTCCCGACGTTGTGATATGACGTTATATAACATATATGCAACGTTTATGTAACGTTTATACAACATTGTTGTGACGTTATGTTATCCTAAATCAAAATTTCTTGTTGCATAAATTTACGTAATAAAGTTGATTCAATCAAGCAACAAAGACAATATATTTCAGTGTCATGACAATGTGTGTATTAGGAAAGCAGTTCCCCATCAGCCTTCTTCCTTCCACCACCTCCTATCCTGTCTGGGGCATACTTCAAGGCTACATACATGGCTGTTTCTGCTGTAGTTTCTGTGCATCGCATAGTACGTACTACAGCATCTACAATTAAATCAATTAATTCTTAATAAAATATGATAAATTTTACGACATGAATGAATTGTTTTACAATATTAAAACAAATCAATACATTTTGAAACTTTTATGCACATTTTGCCAAAAAGAGCCACAAGAAGGAATATATCCGACACTCAAAAAAATGATAAATATAAACGGCATATGAATTGTATAAAACATTAGAGTCTTACGAAGCACGACCTTAAACAATTTCAGATTCTGAAATCTTAGTTTCCCTTTCTTCCCTGTAATACTTTCATTTGTCATCAACCTAAAATGCAAACAAAAGGGAATATTATGTTTTTGACTATATCTATGTGATCATAGATGATATTGTACTTGTACCTTGGTATGTGCTTTCCATTGGATGCTAACATTTTCAACATAATTGTCTAGAGTGTTGAGTTATATTTCTAATAAATTGATAATTTGATAAATATACATTGGTAAATCATAAAAATAACAATTGTATGACGTTACACTATTTCGTTAACAGCTATTACAGATATTGAAATGTTCAAACTTACTTCTGGAGGATTTTTCTGGCATTTTCATTGATGCTGCTTCCACCAACACATGCAAGGGCCATAGTCTAAAGAAAAATGAAAATATCTTAGAATATTTGCTTGTCCAACATAAAGTCAATACAAAATTAGCTTTCAAACACATAAAATAATTTCACCGATTTGCATTTTTTTTCAAATACATATATATATATAAACGCATTTGCAGCCCTTTCCCTACCATTTTCAAACAGTCTTCTGGACTTTTCAATGTGTCATCGATCCTCTGTAATTCATCGATGCTTCGCGTCTGAAAGGGAATTGTTTGAAGGTCTGATATGGCCATTTCTTTTCCCTCCCGTTGCTCACGCAGTTCTACTCGGATGTTTGCTAACATGGTCATAACTTTCTTCAGAAATTCTGAAAATAACCAAACAATGAAAATGTTTTGAAAAATAGATTATAATCTAGGCATTCCAATTTGGTAAGAAAGTACAATACTAGAAAACTTCTACTTTATTTACTCTAAAGCTGCTCAATTTGATATACCCTCAGTTTTTTTCTTGATTTCACTACCCAGAGACTTTGTACAAATCAGAACGACCCTGCCCTAAGATAACCCTGGAGTGCTGTGCAAAATACACTGCATGCAAAAACGAGTTTAGGTGTATTTTATTTCCTATCTAATCGCCTTTTAAATTTAAAGTTTATAGAAGTAACATATTATCACAGAGTGACACAACACGTCAACAAATTTTCACCGAATAACATAACACATCAACATATTTTCACCGAGTGACACAACACGTTTACATATTTTCACCGAATGACACAACACGTCAACATATTTTCACCGAGTGACACAACACGTCAGAATATTTTCACCGAGTGACACAACACGTCAACATATTTTTACCGAGTGACACAACACGTCAACATATTTTTTTACCGAGTGACACAAAACATCAACATATTTTAACCGAATATCCCTGGCCTCTATATATTATGTATACTTGTTTGAAATAACCACTGATCCACAACAAAACATAACTTAGATTCATCAGTCCATAATACATGTAATAAAATTATAAAGCATTTGCAATTGCTGTACCCAACCATTCTGATTTCTAGTTGTATCAGATGTAACAACATACTTCCTGCACATTATATAAGAACAGCTAATAATCACCAGATTATTTGTTATAACAAACATCATCATATCAATGAAAAGAAACATCATAAAAAATATATTAATACTACATTCTAATTGCCTAGTATACACGACTTCAATCAGCTGGGCAAGCTCGTTGGACCGAAAAGAAACACAAAAAACCAAACAACTGTATAAAATTGAATTTGGTCGTTTATTTTGTAATTTCAAGAGCATACAAATCATGCATTGATATTGAAAGGAATCTGAATGCAAAAAAAAAATACACCAAAAAAATACACCGAAAAACCTGGTCGAAATTGGGGTTCATTACTTACTTGCCGTTGACATTGGATATGCTGAAGTGCCCTCTGGTATGTGTCTGCATGAGGACTGCTCTATTGATCTATTGGCAGCGTCCCTTCTTGGTAATGCCAATGTAGGAAGAGGAGAGGGTCTGGATGCTCTTACAGGGCTTGAGTGAGTGAGACCAAGTCTGTCGGACCATCCTGTAGGGATTTCCTTCTTGGTTCCATCCTGTTCGCTCCCGAGCCTGATGTGATATTGAAATACAATTTGTAAATTTATACAAAAAGGTCCCATATTTAAGTAATAATTACGAAATTATACAACTATCGTTAATGTTAAAGGGAGTATGACAACAAAATATCCTTTTTTTCATTTAAAAAATAAATAAATTTGTAGAACCAGCAAAGAAAGCAGTTTTGATCACAAAATAATATCGTAATACTGTTCCACAATGGAAGGAAGACCTAATATAGAGAATGATTGATTGTGATACCCATAAACAAGATATATTACAGTCATTATGATTGAAAATAGCTCCAAATAATTTTCCTTTAGTAGATTTAACATACCTAATGCAGGTGTCAACCCTTGTGTGCGCAATGGAGGTGGCGTTATACTCATTGGAACTGATGATAGACGCCTTGAAGAAGGCGACGTTACAGGGACCACCGAACCAAATCAAAAATAGATTGTGAATTTTTCCCTTTTGGGCAAAAGATTTCATAGGAAGGTGAATGCCTCGGGGCCTGCTGGTTGGATATTTAGGTAGCAGAAGTTTCAAAGGTGTTATGTGTGGGATGAGCAATATATAAAGATGTGAAATGTATATAAAAAATAAAAACAATAAAGTCTGTTTTTGTCTGGGGAATTTATCAAGTGTGTAATTTGTTGTAAGTTTTGGTCAATTGTTGGTGCCGAATTCAATATAAAATGGCGGCCCCCACATAAAGGAAGTAGGTAGAATTTTTCAACATTTTTTTTACATGTGTGTGAGATTACATTCTTCAAAATGAGGACAGGTGAACCAGTGTGGATAACGCTATTTAACCAGGACTGTGGTAAACGTTAACATTATCGCCTATGGAAAATCATTTGGTTCTGCGGTCCCTATAGGAAGACAGGATATGACGCTTTACACCATTCAGCGTCCCTGGACACCAAATGATGGGACCCACCAGCATATTTCTGGTTGTGAATCTAATCATGGAGGTGTTTTGGCAGAATTTAGAGGGAAAATAAGCTGCAGGATGATACTGTGATGGAAATATGTGGAGGGGGGATATAAACCAGGGAGGATATGGGCGTATTGTGGTTAGATGGCCAAATGGACACAGAACAACAAAGAAAGTGCAACGACTGTCACTGATGGTACATTATAGATTGATGAAGGAGGATTTCCCGAAGAGGGACTGTGACGTCATGATTTTGGAGGTCAGTTATCTCTGCCACAACAGCCTTTTGTCTTGATATGAACCTATATATTTATTTTATTAATAGTCTGTCTGTCAATAAGTTATCAATATTTTAATGTTTCATTACTTTTTCTCGATCATAACTCTATTTTTCACATCAATTTCTTCATCAATTTCAGTCATGTAGTTTGAATATTTTGTGTCTCTTATTTTTCTCCTGCATTTTACTTCACATCGATGTCTTTTTTGTCCTTTATCTAGGTCCTTGGACACTGAGTTACCAACAGTGATTGGAGACCCAACCCCACTACACAGCTTTATGTCCCCGGTACATGGTTCACAGGATACACCGCCCTATGAGCTCTCCCTGAAAAGTTACGAGTAAAGTTCACACTTGATGGGAGAGACTGCTTCAGCCGTCTGCTCACAGATTCTACCTTTTGGGTAGACAGGTTCCACAGGGTCATTTCCAACACGGAGTCACCGAGACGGGCCTTAACTTTCTCCAACAGAATTTTTGACACAGTTGCCTCTCCACCGCTGACCTTGAAATCACTTGGTAGGTATAAGTTGTCTGTTATTTATTTTCTTCCCTGCACACACAAGTGATTTGGTCCTGCACTCACAATGTACACCTAGGTAAAACTTCACGATTACCTCCCTTATACCATGAGCAGCCCTCTCCTATCACTGTCTTTCATCTCAGCCGGTGTTGTGTAAACATTCTGTAATCGTATCATTGTGGTGTTGTACTGTTTGTACAGTTATTAGTCTTTACTTTTGTGTCTGTTTTTTGGCTTTTTCTCTAAATAATTGCTGTTGTCCTGATTTTTTTTTACATAAAGTCCAAAATTAAGGGAGTATAGGTCTTCAAATTGAGTTATCTCCCCTGGTCGTCAGACAATATGTTATTTGTTGAGTAGTACAGTACCTGTACTTTAATACAAACCCAAAACCATAAGTCTTAAGTTAATGTTTATTAAGATATTTAAATATTTAAAATTTAAGGGATCTCTATCTTCAGTACCAGTAGAAGACTTTACCTACCAGCCCAAGCCATGGAGCCAGCTACTCGCATTTTGGTATCAACCCTATGGTCCTGACTTTTTCCAAAAATGGTAAATTTGAAAAATATGTGGGATCCTATAGGGACCACGGAGCCAAATCAAAAATAGAATGTGAGGTTTTCCCTTTTGGGCTGAAGATTTCAAAGGAAGGTGAATGCCTCGGGGCCTGCTGGTTGGATATTTATATTAGGTGGCAGAAGTTTCAAAAGTGTTATGTGTGGGTTGAGCAATATATATAGATGTGAAATGTATAAAAAAATCAAGTCTGTTTTTGTCTGGGGGAGTTTATTAAGTGTCAATTTTGGTCAATTTTTGGTGCCGAATACAATACAAAATGGCGGCCCCCATATAAAAAAAATTATGATAGGTAGAATTTTTCAACTTTTTTACAGGTGTTTGAGATGACATTCTTCAAAATGAGGCCAGGTAAACTAGTGTGGATAACCCCATTTAACCAGGACAGTGGTAATCGTTAACACTATCGTCTATGGAAAATCGTTTGGTTCTGCGGTCCCTACAGGCCTTGGAGAAGGCGACATTGCACGCATTGGAGGAGACGACGTTACACTCCTTCTATGGGACATTACACGCCTTGGAGGAGTGATTGAGTTTGGTGCCTTTGACGTGAGTCTTGGGGACAGGCTCGCAAACCTATTTACTCTGGGGTTTTTTACATTGTTACTCGACAACTAAGACAACGTTGTTGCCCGACAACCCATCAAATGGCTTTGCTATGACCCGATTTATTGCACCAAAAACATGTTGCATTTTTGAACCTGCAATCAGTTCCGCCCTTCTCCTATTTTCACAAAAATTAGAGTTCTTGTCTCTTGAAATTCTTTTAATCCTTGTTGGAGTACCACTATTTGGCTGGCTAAGTCCACTGTATTATGGCCTTCCACCGACTTCCACATATATCCGTACTTCACAATGTCATGCAGAGACTTGCATTTAACATTTCCACGAGATGAATCTTTTCACATCCTCATTTAATCCATTGAGGACAACGTGCTTGATCTCCTGCGGAACTATGCCTAAATAATTTCCTATGTATGTCCGAAAATTCCTTTACAAATCTAGCACGTAGCACAAACCTCGAAAATTAAAAAAAACATGTTTTGCACATCCTCTATTAAGGAGAAGTACCAGTTTTATGCTTTTCCTGTTAGGTACAGGAAAGACTGGTAGGTTTGTTCTCCTCTTTCCATTTTTAAGCTGTGATACTTTATTAAGTTTAGACAGCCATATCCTGTCATTGCCATCCCCTGAGAAGAGATATAATGTCACTGATATATAATTTGCTGCCATTTCTGGAATACAACGCCTTCTCTTGTAGAATTTAGCAGTTTAGGATGCCAAACTCCCCCGTAATTCTCCATTAATGTATTACTGGGGTCTTATGTCATAGACCGGCCATACTTTGCTGTTCTAGTCATATTTGCAGAGTATCCTGCTGTCACGGAGCATCAGACCACACATTTATTTACGTGGACTGGTTACAATTCGTCCTTTAACATTAATAACAACCTCTTGCAAAATTATAACTGCTGGTGTGCCACACAGCTCCGTTCTTGGCCGTTCGCTATTATTTATTGCCACAAGGCTCCGTTCTTGGCCCGTTGCTATTATGTATTTGCACAAGGCTCTGTTCTTGGCCCTCAGTTATTATAAGTCGATATCTTTCCTCGTTGCCAATAACATCTCTTTTTCTAGTTTCTCGTGTCGAAAGAGTCATAAGTTATGACATTGGAAACATAATATACAACCACATGCTAAAGAAAACAAAAGCTCAATTATTTTCGGAACTCCACATGAAAAACGTTTAATCACAGTGAAATACATTTTCCAAACATGATATAAATTTGGGAAGTGTAAATTGTAAGTGGACTAGACATATCGAAACAAATTTCTTGGCATTATTCCATAGAATTGGTATTACAAACATGCCCCACCACTTCAGGGATCGAGAAAATAATTCACCTGCTAGTTACCCACGGCATGATCGTTAGAGGCAACTAATGTGGAAGACACCTGCATAATTTGGGATTTACTTTTAGGTCCTCTGCTTGGGGACACAAAACCGAGCAAATGAAATCTGCTACACCCAATGCAGTATTTGAGATCTGTATATTTCTCTCTAATCAAACTACCTTTAATTTCCTAGCGCCTTCCTTGAAAACACTTCACTTTTTACTTTAATGTTGAACGTACGCTTAGGTGAGGAAGGTAATGGTTTTGTTCCCAGACTGGAACATACCCAAGTCCTTGCAAATGGTAGTTGGTTCCCTACTTAACGTTCAGCAATTAAGGAAATAGCAATAACTGATTCACCTGCTTTCGGTATAATGTGACCGGGGGAATTGCTGTGCGTTCCGCATGGTATTTCAGTAAATTAGTCGCCTCTTACAATACGTGTAAAGGGTAACAGTAGGTGCATTATTTTTCCGATCCCCGACTTGCAGAGGTGTAGATCACAGGTGTTTTGTACCGTCACGGTAGACAACTCTTACACAAGCTACATGCACAATGTTCAAGGTTGATTTATATTGATTGGTGATAAGTTTTACAAAATATATTTCATTCTTGTTCTAACAACCCTTTTTCCCCGTAAGGATTTAAATTGTAACGGCGTTGCGCGAAATTAAAATAAAAACAGTTCAAATATCCAACATTGAAATTTTAATCAAGTTTTACACAAGGTGTTATAAATGAACATTTTCCAATGAAACTTGTTTAAGTTAAATTAATGGGTAATAACATTCTTTTCATAACCTTGAAGATGAGTCCGGAAAAAGCAGGATCGAATCGTCCACTTTTAATTCGTTCAGAAATTACGTACATTCTGAAAATTAAAACAAAGCCATGTTATACATTGGCATAATTACAAATCAGATCATGTCTATCAATTACGTGTTAAATTAAGGAAATGGTTTAAAATATTGAAAATTATATTAAAGGGATCTTACACTACATTATGGTTTTTACTGAATATATACTTACCTCCCCTGCAGTTGGGACGTAACTGTAGGACAGTTAGGCTTGAACACTTTGGTTGACTTAAATAGTTCAAGTATAACAATCTAAAGCCATGGGTTCGAATCCCGGTCAACACAAATTAATTGTTTTTATCTCAAAACATTGTTGTTGTTAACATTTTGTTCATTTCACCTTTATATTTTTTTCAAAAAAAGTCTCGCCATAAATGGTTTCAAAAAAATATTTTTAAAAGCAAGCCATGCCGGAAAATCTATTTTTAATGCGTAGTTATAGTCTTTACAAGTGCTAGGGGAATCCTTATAACGAAGATCACTTTATAAATGGCAAAATTAAGATTGACAATGATATCAGGATGGTAAATCACTACAACTACACTGTTCCACACAGTAAATTTGTCGAGAATTTCGAATATCTGCCCAAGATTTTATACATACTGTGAAAGGTGTGAGTGATGTGGTTAGAAACATATTATACACCCGATTTCTTATCTATGAACACTGGGGACAAGAGCAGTGGAGATGTCCAGTGTCCTCATCTGGCTTTTGTTTAGTAAGGAGGTTTGCAGAGTACTTATAAGCTACGGCACCTCGGTTCAGATAAGGTTATATATTCTGTAGCTGGTATGGGGAACTTAAAATGTGGTAATTAAGATAAACGAGTTTCTATGTAGGACCGACCCTATAAGGGGGAAGGCTTTTTATCCTTTGTTTAGTTTCAGATTGGACACAGAATAAACACATTTTATTGTACGGTTGTGTGTTTCTGGCACTCTCTGTAATGGACCATATTAACTGTTAATGATTGTCGCTCTATTGAACCCCGTGACAACTCCATAAAAATTAATTATTTGAAACAAATAATCTTTATTGATATCTGATCATTTTCGCTATGAAATTATGTTAAAGGAGACATTGTAGAAATCAAAAATAGACCCGATCTATCCCACTTCATGTGTATCGGAGAAGGCGACTAATGGGCCCCTGCAAAATCGGGTGTTTTCTTCCATGTATTCTACGAAGGGGACATGGAAGAAGTCAAAATTGATATACTGTCCCTGTTGCAGCACCTGGGATCTTTTTAGTTTCACATTGTTCCTGTCGACTTTCTTTTTTTTATCTTTTTATGTTTCACGCGGTATCTCCCTAGGCACCCGTCCTCATATGAGCCTGGCTGTTGCGAGAACGTTAAACCAAAAACAAACAAACCAAATAGTTAGAGCGATAGCATGAAAATATTAAGTCCCTCATTATTGTTGTCTGGCCCGAAATGACATCATCATTTGGCCGTTAAGTAATAAACTGAGTTATTTGGTTTTTAGGTCACCTGCGACAAAGTCTCAAGTGACCTATTGTGATCGTCTTTTGTCCGCCGTCGTCCGTCGTGCGTCCGTAAACAATTTACTTTTTCGACTTCTTCTCCAAAACCCCTGAACCAATTTCAATGAAATTTTGCAGAAACCTTCCTTGGCCAAAGGTCAACAAAAAATAGTGGCTTATTTGGTTCCCAGACCCCAGGGGCCTGAGGGGCAGGGCCAAAAAGGGTGAAATTGACTAAAATTTCAAAAATCTTCTTCTCAAGACCCAGATATGGTAGAATCAAATACTCTTCATAGATGGAAAGGTCGTAAGGTGCTCTATCACAATTGTTAATTTCATGACCCCGGGGTCTCACATTTACCCCTGGGAAGGGGGTAAACTTTACAATAGTTTATATAGGGAAATCACATTTTGGACCAACATTTGTTAAATTTCCATTGGAAGTAATTCAATTTGGGTTAGCATTTTCATTATTGGATATCAGTATGCACATATCAGCCCTGACTGACCCCTCGGGGCTGATGGGTTGGGCCAAAAAGTGTCGAATTGACTGAAATTTCAAAAACCGTCTTCTCAAAAACCCAGATATGTTAGATTCAAACACTCTTCATAAATGGAAGGATCTTAAGGTTGATGTCCCTATGGTCTCACGTTTACCCCCTGGGGAAGGAGGGGTGGGGGGAGCAAAAATTATTATGGTTTATAATTGCAAATGATGCTTTGAATATTACATTTTAATAACTTGATTGGAATGATAACGCTGAGTTGACAGTTTGATACTTTGAAAATTTTGAGCCAGCCCAACCCCCAATTAAGGGCTGTAGGGTGGGGCCCAAAGGAGTCGGTGTGCTACAATTTCTTCATTTTCCTTGTTTAGAATCAGAGGTGCTAGTTTCAAATACTTTTCAGTCTTAAATCTGTATGCTAGCTATTGAATAAGGTGGTTTTATTGTTTTTTTGTCACTTTGAATACTATTTCTGTTCATGTAAAAAAACAAAATCACTCTCTGTTTAAATATACCAGGTGACCGTTAAGGCCTTTAGCCTCTTAGTTCTTTTTAATTTTACCGACGGTTCGAAGAGTTTACTCAGACTTACCTTTTTCTAGTGTCGTTGAACGCTCAGTCATGCCAGCGTGATTGTAGATCTGTACACTATAGAGTCCATAGTCATTGTCGTTAGGTGACGTCACTCTCAGTCTCGTTTTGGTTCCAGTTTTCGCCACCGTTTCTCCTTTGGACAGTATCTCGATGTCAATATCCTCGTTGATAATGATGTATTTTGACGAATCACTGCTTATTTCGTTATCTTGTTTCAGCCACCTGATGAGCCTATAGCTTGAAGAGGAATAAAATGTAGCAGATATTTCCCCCGTCGAATTGGAAACAACAGCAGTCATTTCGCCAACAACCTTAGGAATACCTGTAAAACGGAAACCTCATTAAAAGGATAATTATGATTAAAGAAATATAATTACTATAATAGAGTTTTCTGTAATAGAAAAATAAAATCCCGACAGCGTCGAGGGACTTTGGTCAAAGCCTAACTCAATGCTTAGGCTAAAGAAACTGTTTATTGAGCAAATACTAAAACAAAACGTAATGGATTGGAACAAAATTAGGAGCGAGACCAGACTTTCCGAAAGCCTAAGTTTTTTCAAACAAATACGTTACACATCATTAATATATCATATCATGTCTAAATATCTTGGTAACTACTGATACCTTCTTCATGAACAGTCAACTTCACTGGAATCACTGCCTGTCCCCCATCGTTTGAAACAATGACGTCATACGTCCCATAATCCTCTTCTGATGCAGACGTTATAGTCAGGACGGTGGATTCTGAGTGCTCTTTCGGCACCATTGGACTGGAGTCATTAACGTCATCAGCCAGGCTAGTCTTGATCACGTACTTGTTGACCGGATGGTTTTCCTGGACTTCCTCACCTCTGAAGTACCATTTCACGCTGCGGTAAGGGAAATAGGAAGAGAAGGTCACAATAAGGATGGCGGAAGATCCATTCATGGAAACAGTGACGTCACTGGAAGCCACTGGGTTTGCTATATCAAAAAAAAAAGTAATGCAATCAGTGCATTTATGCTTCTACGAGGAATATATCATTACCCTTTTTCCCTCGGATTTTATTTTATTTGGCCTTAAGACCTCGTCTTTGTTGAAAGGCCGGTAATATGTCGCAAGAAGCGACTTATCGTTGGTGGAAACCTAAATGGATATGCGTCCTAAACTGCAATACTTCTTTTCTCTGTTCTTTCTTAACTAACATTCCCTTATTTTTGACATTAACTTATTCCTGCAGGTCGGAGATCGAGAAAATGTCACCCACTGCATGTATCGTAAGAGGCAACCAATGCCAGAACCCCCTGCAGAATTGAGCATTTGCTTTTGTGCCCTCTACTTAGGGACACACAAGCGACCAAAATAAAACTGTGCCTAAATTTTGGCTTAAGTGTTGAAAGTTCGCCCAGGTGAGGAAAGACAATCGGTTGTGTCCCCAGGCCGGGACATACTAAAGTTTTTAAAATGATTAACGTTCAGCATTGAGAGTAATGGCAACAAAACGTTCAGCATAGAGGGTAATGGCAACAACTCGTTCACCTATTTTCATTATAATGCGACCGGGCGGAATGCTATGATGGGTGCCGTCGGCATGGTATTTCAGTGAGATAGCACTAGTCGGCATCAGATCCGCACTATCACAAGGAGGCAAGTACACCAACATACATGTACAATGTCTCTGGCACACAAACACATAAGTATGCGCTTACACAACTCGCATGGAGGTACGTCCTTTCTGACTTTAGCTGTTAATTGGACATTAAACGATATAAAATCAAACCAAACACATTATCTCTATAAGCACCCGTCTTCTTATGATGTTGCGGGGATGTTAAAATATTGAAGTGTTTTACTTTAAGACACTTGAAAAAGTAAAAGTAGACAGGTTTCCCGGAAGAGTACGCGTCTTCCTCGTCATTGGTGACACCCGCTATGTTTGGTTTTATATTGTTTAACGTAAAACAGGGAATAACAATTTACATTATTAAGAATTTCGGTATGTCCCGGCATGGGGATAGAGCCCATTGCCTTCCTCACTAGCGTGCAACATCAATGCAAAAAATGTAGAAGTAGAGAGAAGGAAATTGCTTAGTAATAGAAATAAATGTAGGGTTGATAACAGCTACTGTTCTTTTTTACTTTCACCGTTATCTTAGAATGGTAAAACACCAATTTGTACTAAAGGTACGATTGCTATTTACAATTGTATAAAAGATGTTTGCGTTATAGCTACGACGCTAAAATATTATAGCCTTGATTTTGACTGCATGTTGTCGAAACGCAAACTCGTTGTTACAGTGTCGTTTGAGATCGCATACATGAATCATCATGCTTAACCGGATAAGAAATAAAGTATGTAAATCAATGACGTCATTTGGGAAGTCCCGTATCCCAATATCACTTTGAACACTCCTCGTGCGCATCTAAATAATCATTCAAATGTGTATATGAAACGTAAAGATTGCCTACATTTAGAAAAATATCCTTCAAGACACTTGTTTTTCGGCGGTGTCTCCTTTTTCACACTTAGTCATGTGACCTTGGCTAGTGAACAGACTTTTAACAAAAATAGCTACTGTTGACCAGTGATAATTTTTCGAACGTAATTGCATACCTGTGGCAACCCCGCACCGTGTTTGTTGTTAGGTATTTACATAATTGTTCTAATCTGTTATTAAAACGAATCCCCCTATAACATCAATCGCGACACTAGAAGCTAGCTGTTCCTGTTTATATTCGTTTTGCTTGTAAAATCATCGCTAAATAGTAAATATCACACTCGCATGCATCAAACACTTGGGTGTACATCCTAAAGTGCTGTTATAGGACGCTAATGTTAATAAAATAAGTCAGGAAATACAGCAATTTGTTTCCCTATACTTTCCTTTCATCAACTATTTATCTTAATTGAGAAATAGTTAGTTATTAGCAATATATGTCTTCACGAGAACATCTCTTATACATCATTATTTATTGTTCATATCTTAGATACAAAAGAATTGGGCAACAGGCAAAGCTTTTATCATTTACAGTATTCATGTTAATTACTTACCATACAACGGATTTTGAACATTAATGAAATGTTCGGAACTTCCCATTTCGTTTCCGATTGTAACCTTATATTTCCCAAAATCTCCAGTTGTTGGATTATGCACATATACCGATGTCACGTTCCCCGCCTTGCTACACATCTTGCCATACATCGGTAGAATCACGTTACGTGGTCCCGTTTCTATTAATTGTCCATACGGTGAACCGACCGTGTAACCATTTCGATGCCACGTGACCCAGCGATGAGGAGGATTGGAAAAGAATGGTACTTCTAGATGTATACCGTCACTTTGGATCGCGACAGCGGATTCCAGAATTACAGGAACAGCTAGAAAACAAAAATTTGACGTAAGATTTATTGGGTCAATGGACAATCAAACAGAAACGAGGTCCTGTAGATAATGCTTTAACACACAAGGTCAGAACTAAAGAGCAGCCAGAACGATTTACCTTACTAATGATAAAGGGAAACTGTTGATGATCGTTACTTCGGTTACAGATATACTTTAATAAAAAATAAGACTGAAATTCCAGCATCATCCTAGAAATTCCCATTCAAAGCCTCCAATTGTGTCACTACATATACAAAGGAAGAACAGATCGTAATTGAGCGTAACCCTTGGCATTTCGTAGATGATCGATCCTAGGAACGGCCTTGTATTATGTGGAAAATCGTAAACAAAAGTTTCTTCTTTGCTACGGCCGTACGTCCCTATGCAGTTTCAGGGAAAAAATTAGACCTGTTGTATGACGTACGAGGTGACTAACTTGAACCATTTGCAGAAATTTGTCTGTTGCAGCACTGGAATCTTAGCTATCTTTCCTGAATTCATTACTTTCTTATTGGCGGTGTCTCCCTTAGGCATATGACATTAGAACGTAGGAATATGATAAACGGGGCTTCATAGCATCACATAACGCAAAGACTCGTACTGTTTCTTACCTCTGACGGCGAGTGTAGTTCTGTCATGACTTAGTTTTACGTTATTTCCACTTTCTTCGTCTGTAGCAATACACGTGTAGGTGCCTGCATCCAAGTACATACACAAAGGTATTGTAAGCGTGTTGAGTGTTCCATCTTGATCACCGGGAAGGTTCCTGATGACTTCTCCATCAACGGAATGGATCCATGAATGAATAATTGAAGAACATGAAGTGACGTTGCATACGAGCCGAGTCGTATCTGCCTGATCACATGTGACATATAGGAAAACTAAAACAGAAAATCGTTTAAGTGTACCCCACATAATATAAAACGTTGTCTCGTGTTCATATTGCGTTCTTTATTTAATAAAATAATGTGTCGAAATTTAATTACATACAACTGTATCTGTTTTCGAGAATGATTTGTGTTTCTGATACGCCCCCAGCAAGTTTTTTGATACACTAGACCTGTTTTCCTACTGCGTGATGCCGTTAAAGAATTATTTTCTTCTTTATCCTCTATGAAGAGGACGACGAAGAGACCAAAACGTATCTACTGCCCTGCCCTATTTACCACACTTCTGCCTACTCTCCGTATTTTTTCCGTCGTGTTTTCCCTAGGGACCGTCTCCATATGACAATACATGTTGCAATGGCGTTAATATCCCATATAACAAAACTAAAAATATTCTACCTCGTAAAAGAAAATAAATCTAAAACTTGTGTATTTAAAGAAACCGCCTTTTGATTTTGGAAATATTCAATGTTTACATTATTTCTACGAAGACCACATCCTTAAATGACCTTAGCTGTTAACAGGACATTAAACAAAAGTAAACCAAACCAAACCAAATCTGTGAAGACTGTTATAAATGCATACGCTAGTTATTTCCTATTATTGCTTTAGAATCATATTGTTTTAAAATATAAACACTGTGTCAAATTACCCACATACCCTGTCTCCAGCAGCATACACATATGCACGTATACATAACACACATGGAGACACGTTCTTAAATGACCGTAGCTGTTAATAGGACGTTAAACAAAAAACAACATCAAATACCTTCCGGTATAGGAACCCCAATAACGTGATGTGATTTCCCGGCTTCATTCTCTAGGACAACCCTGTAGAAACCGAAGTCTTCGGATGTAATCTTAGATATAGTTAGCACAGCGGTATAGTGAGCATTTGGCTGGGTCGACGATCTACTGCCACCAATATGAGGATACGTGTAGATGTCGATAACACTACGTTGATCATTCGAACGTAAATGAGATGGATATCCGTTTGTGGTCCAATACGGGGAGTAAATCCCTTCCCACTTTAATTCCATAGAGTATTTGTCCGAAATCTCAATCTGAACGTCGCCAATAAACCAGGTTGCCGATGGATACGCAATATTGGAGTCAAAGTTCACCGACAAGATGATTTCTTGGTCACTTATTTCCACAGTTGGCGAAGGAACCAACAATTTGGGTAATTCTGTGTGATAAAAAACCGAAATGAAGATATGACTGACCAAATAACACAAAACAAAGGTAACACGACTAAAGCAAAGTACTGAAATCGGGGAGTTGGAATAACTTACTAAATAAAATTAATAAACCGATACGAATTACCAATATTATCTCCCTTTGTAAGGTAATTTACCTTTGTTTATACATGCCACCGCTCTCTGTCATAGTTTTCTATCAAATTGTTTGATCAACAGCGTCTTATAATGTTCAACAAAATGTAACGATGAGAGCTTAGTGAGGTGCTTTTATAAATTTGATTTTGAATAAGTAAACAAAAACAAGGAAGCACGATACGCCCGTCAGACCCTCGGAAGGGTATTAATAAATCGGAAGCAGGTAGTGACATATACCATAAATGTGTTTCCTGTCACCGGTTTGTTGGTGAATGTGGCCTTGTCATTCATTTACTGGGTAAGCTCTTTTGTGTTTCAGAATTACACTTTTAAACAAATTAATAAAAAGATACTTTTCGATGAAATACCCTTATTTTGGCAATGAAAAAGAGGTATTCAGATGATGACACAACCAAGTAATTTATAAAAATCGGAGAACAATTGTTTGAGTTATCGTGTAAACAAGGAAAAGTTAACGGTAAAAATGCCAGGTGTGATACGTCAAAACGCGGAAAGTTGAAACTCGACAGAACAAAACCCCGTAATATATGTTGAACATTATTGCTTCCAGCATTACCGTACACAGTTTTAAAGGAATTGATTAAAAAAATATTAAAAAGTTCTTGCATTTACTACATAATGCCCTTATTTGGAAATAAAAGGGGTATAACTTTACCATAGATGGAAGTAAATTTCTAAATTGTTTGCACTATATTGGTATGCAATAAGTATACCAAGTTTCATAAAGATGTGTTCATTATTGAAGGAAGTAGAGCGATGAAAAGAAAAAAATAACGAACGGACGGACGGACAACGCAGCCCATATCGTTACGTTTCATTTAAACGCCATGTTTGCCTTAGTTCATGAGTTACAATCGCGACACTAGTAATATTTAAATACATCTGATGTAATCTTAAAACGAGTCTGTATTAGCATGATCTCGTAAACCATAGGCATACAATCATGTAATATTTAAAGGTACGCTCACATGATGTATAGTGGATTAAAAACTCAACCATTTAGGATATACGATTGTGCCCTTTTTACCTTTTTCAGGATAACCCATATACAAGGAGATCTCCGTTGTTCCGATATCGTTTCTGATGATACACATGTAATCCACGTAGTCAAGTTCTGTGGGGTTAGTGCTACCCAGTACGGACTTGAATAGAGCTTCGTTTGCCTCACCGTTGTACTTGTCTTCTACTAGCGCTGTTGTTATAGATACTTCACTTCCGTAACTAATTAACCGCTGTCTCTTGTACCAAGAAATCTATCGGCCATAAAAAAAAACATTTGATTAAAAAAGCGGGTCCTTTTTAAGATAAAGTGTAATATCATACAAATTATTTTTTTCCAAATCTACCTGCAGGTTGAGGGTCGAAAAAGAGAATACAGTCTATTACACCTGTGGGATACCCCCTACATGGATCGTAAGAGGCGACTCACCCCCTACAGAAATCGGGATTTGCATTTGTGCCTTCTACTTTGAGAACACAAAAGCAACCGAAGTTAATCTAATGCATTAATTGCAAAAGTTGAGATCTTTATATTTCTCTCTACTTTTAACTACCTTCTGTTCCCTAGCGCATTGCTTGCCAACACCTCACTTTTTGCTTTTATGTTGAACGTTCGCCAAGGTAAGGAAGGCAATGGGTTATGTCCCCAGGCCAGAACATACGAAAGGCCTTAAAAATGGTAGTTGTTATTCTCTGCTTTAAGTTCAACATGGCATCCGATCCGCGCTATCACAAGGAGGCAAGTACCGTTCCCGGCACACATGCACCCTTACACGAAACACTTGGAGGTACGTCCTTAAATGACCTTTGGAAGCTGTTAATAGGATGTTAAACAAAATAAAACAAAACACAATTTTGTTTTTTAAGAATTTCCTTAACATTGTTGCAAACTGTTTGTTTTAGGTATGACTTCATTTTCGCTTTATCATTTCTAAAAAGAAACCATACCTGCTTGGCTTTTATGAGGAATAGTAAAGATGAAATAAACAAAATACAATCAGCAACAATGTTATGAATGAAAAAGAACTAGCGAAATATCATGGCTCCACTGTACTGCAATTATATCGAAACACGGAAGCTGAGAGGCGGTTATTGTGCATAGGTAAAATACACAATGCAGTCAAATGTACAGCTCTTAATAACCCAGTTATCACGGACTGTATAGACTCCATTCGTACCAATGATGAATCACAAAGCAATGTGCAGTAAGAGCAATTTCTTTTGATTGGTTGTCTGCAACAACGAACTAAATTTCGAGACCATACCTGCATTAGTTACGCTTACATATTATGAAATAGTTATCCATGTTATTGTCATGCTCGAGACCAACCATTTATTGTCAAACATATTTTGGACACTGAGCACATTTATCACGGGTTATACAGACAAACGTGGACTAAATGGTCACATTGACCAGTAAAGATAATAACGTTGTGTGGCTATCTGCAACAGTGTATTACATGAATAGGCCACACATACATTATACACGCTTACATCTTTCGAATTGAAAAACAATGGTGTTGTTATGACCTTGTAACAAACCATTTACTTTCAAACATTCCATAATCGAATGTGCAGATTTTAAAACAAAAACGTGAAAATACATTGTAACAACTACGAAAAAATTGTTTGATAAAGTTTCTTTGTCGTAAATATATGATTATTTACATTCTTTAATTTGTTTCCAGTTTATTTTTTTTTCATTTGTGTCATCTTCTAAACATTTCAGATGTGTTAAGTAAAGTTAAATAAAGACTTATTTTATTTGGGAACGTCTCTCTTTAGTGCTGTTTAGCTATCAACAACTTAAAATTATTATTTTTTTGTAATTTTTTATTTTTTTCCAAATTTATAACAATGCAAATATATCATACATAAACATTATTCCTCTCGCACATTACAATTCATTCATTAAATATTCATTTATAATAAAACTGCATATTTCCAGGTATAATTAATAATTAATTATGTTTATATATAATTAAATTCCATCTAAATTGTGTCCGTTATATAAATGCATTGTTTAGAAGTGATAGAAAAGAGGTTAGAGCAGGTCCTAGAGGTATAGAAGGGAAAGTAAGACTAAGAGAGAGAGAAAAAAAGAAGAAAGAAAAGAAAAAAAAGAAAAGAGAAAAAAAAAAATAAACGAGGGGGGGTGGGATATTGAGAAATAAAGAAGCTATATAGATGTGTTGGAAGGTTCAAGGAGTTTTACATATAAGTATTCAGAAGTACATGTTTATATAAGAAAACTCGATAGTTATATGTTCATATTTTGGCAAAGACAGGGTTTAAGCAATATTAATTAGACTTTCCCATTTTTTCCATTCAGTATTGAATTTCAATAAAAATAATTCACTTTTATTAACAGCAATATATCTCTGAGTAAAATATGTGTCCTTGATAACGTTCTTAAGTGCAGCTACTGACAATGACATTTGTAAACATCTCGATTTATAAATATATTGTTTTATAAGTAAAATTATGGTATTATCTACCCTACTACTGATACTATTTTGATTAAATAAACCGAAAATGAAGGTTTCCTTGTTAAAACCAAATGGGATTAACAATGCATCAAGAAGGAATTCAAAATTTTGTAAAAAGTCTTGTACTTTCTCACATTCCCATAGTGTGTGAATTATTGTCTCTATTTCAGTCTTACATTGAAAACAAAGAGCACTATCGGTAAGAGCTGCTTTAACTAGATAAGAGTTTGTTGTTAAAATGTGTTGATTTATTCTGTATTGAAGCCATTGTAATTTTGAATTTCTAGTTACTGTAAATGGAAGCATATATATCAATTTCCATGTGTCATCATCAAATTCAAACAATTCATTCCATTTGTTTTTCCCAGTGGATATGGTACTATTTTGGCACAACAACTTATAAAAATCTTGAGTTCCTTTTTTTTGCCTCATAAATATTTCTAAATTTAAGGGTATGTATGGATAACTAATCAAAGTATTTAAAGTATCATCATTGGACATGTAGTTTTTTATAGTATTAATAATACCTTGATATGTGAGAAAGTTAGTTTTTACATCAAATTTTTGTGAAAATTCTATAAAACTATAGAAAATACCAGAGTTATTATCTTTTAATAAGTCATTTATAATTAAAACACCCTTTTCAAACCATTGCTTATAAAATAAACACTTGGCTCCTACTGTAAAATATTTGTTATACCAAATAGGCATTTTCAATCTACTTTTTATCTCTCTTATACAATCTTCTTTATCAGCTATTTTTCTCCATGATTGGAACACATCTTTCCAAAAAAGGTTTTTACAATTGCCTTGAATAATCGATAAGTATTCTGAACCACAATTAAATAAAATGTCCTTATTAACATATTTTTTAAATAACACTTGCCATTTACCCCCTGATGTAAGCAACCTACGTATCCAAGTAAGTTTCAAGGCTTCAATAAAAGACTTGATGTGTATCATTTTAAGACCCCCTTCCTGATAGCTTTTGATGATTATTTCCCGTTTTGTTTTATCCACTTTACTCTTCCATAAGAAATTAAAAAATTCTGAATTTAATTTTTTAATAAAATTTTCATCTGGATTTGGTAAGGAGATAAATAGATGATTAAATTGAGATATTAATAAAGATTTAATTATTTGTATTCTTCCTATTGGTGTTAATATTCGTCTACTCCAATTCTTAATTATTGACTTAAGTTTCACTAGTCTTTTATCATAGTTTAATTTAGGGATTTGATGTAAATCTACATGAAATTCTATACCTAATACCATAAATTTTTGACTTCCCCATTGCAGGTTCCATTCAGGATAATATATCTCATCACTGTACTTTTTACTGCCTATCCATATAACTTGTGTTTTACTTTTATTTATTTTAAGACCAGAAATTTTTGCAAATAAATTAAGCTCTTTTATTGATTCTTTTAATGATTGTTTCGTTCCATCTAAAATGAGAGAGGTATCATCTGCATATTGTGAGAGAAGTAGTGGAGAGTTGTCTATATTTATACCCCTAATATAATTATTATTTCTAAGTCTTATTGCAAGTATTTCTGAACACAAAATAAAAATGTATGGAGCTATCGGATCACCTTGACGGCAACCCCTCTTAATTTCAAAAAAAGATGAGAGATTACCACCTTGATTAATTGCAGACATAGAATTTTTATGTAGTGTTTTTATCCAACTTCTAATATCCTCACCAAAATTAAAATATTTAAATACATTTTCAATAAACTCCCAACTAACAGAATCAAATGCCTTTTCAAAATCAACAATCAAAAGCATCCCATCTATATCATTGTCCTCTGTATACTGCATTATATCGTAAATTAATCGTGTATTTTCCCCTAAAAATCTGCCTGCAATAAATCCTGTCTGGTCAGTGTTAATTAATTTATCTAAAATAGTTTTTAATCTAGAAGCTATTGCGCCAGATGCAATTTTGTAAACAATATTCAAAAGACAAATAGGTCTCCAATTTTTAAGAAATTGCCTTGGTTTATCACCTTTTGGTATACATGTAATAATTCCTTGTTTTTGAGTTATAGATAAGTTTCCATTTATATATGCATAATTAATAGATCTTAAAACAAATTTACCTAGTTGTTTCCAAAAACACTTAAAAAATTCTACTGTAAATCCATCTGACCCGGGGCTTTTATTATTTTTCATGTGTTTTAAAGTATGTGACGCTTCAGTAAAAGTTATATTACCTTCTAAAGATAAAGATTCTACATTGTTTAATTTTGGAACATTACAATTGGATAGAAATTTATCTAAATCCACTTCTTCGATATTACTATTACTTGCATACAGTTGTTCATAAAATAATTTAACTTCATTTAAAATATCTTCTTGTTTTCTTATAACATCACCATTTTCTTTTTCTATCATCGGGATAATTTTTGAGGTAAAATGTCTATTTTCAAGATTAAAAAAATAGTTTGTTGGCTTCTCTCCCTCTTCCACCCATTTTGCCTTGGACCTTATAATGCTACCCCTCATTTTAATTTGTCTGATTTTTTCCAATTCCTTCTTTTTTTCACCTACTTGATCCAGATTGACATTATCCATATTTTCTAAACTGTTAATAGATTCTATAAGAGTATTTTCCTGTATGTTCTGCATTTTTTTTTATATGATGCATATGAAATAGTTTTACCGCGTATTTCAAATAGTAAGGTCTCTAAGAAAAGTTGGTCGTTGATTTGGAACTGGATATCCTCATCTGATATATTATTAATAAAATGTGGGTTATATATTAATAGGGCATACTGCTTTTTAATTTCAAAAAATAATTTATTTATAGTTTTGAGATAATCCTCATCATGTAATAAAGAATTATTGAATTTCCAAAGTCCTCTTCCTCTCTTAAATTCATTAAATTTTATTGTAATAGTAGGTATAGAATGATCAGATCTGTAACCAGTTTCAATACTAGAGTTCTGTATATTACTTAACATATTTTCTGATACCAGAAAAAAATCTAAACGTGCCTGTTTAATAGGATTATTTCTCCTCCATGTATATCTCTTATAATCTGGATGTTGCTCTCTAAAAATATCTACTAGACTGAATTCATCTATAAGTTCAATTACTTTATCTCTAGCTTTAGGATTATTTATTTGTTTATAACTCTTATCATAATCAAGGTCAGGGTTCAGCACTAAATTAAAATCTCCACATATAATACAAAATTCATTACTATATTCATTTATCACATCTATTATTTGCTGATAAAAACTAGGTGTATCTAAGTTTGGACCATATACTGTTATTAAAGTTACTTTTTTATCATTTATCAACATATCTAAGGCAATATAATTACCCTCTTTATCCTTTTTTTCTTTCAGTACTTTACCTTCAAAATTATTATTAATTAAAATCGCTACCCCCCTAGAGTTAGATTTATAAGAACTAAAATGACAGCTATATCCCCATTCTGACCTAATAATATTTTCAATATCTACAGTAAAATGAGTGTCTTGTAAACAGTAAATATTGCCCTTCTGGTGCCTTAAGTATGAGAAAACATCTTTTCGCTTACCTTTGTCCTTCAAACCCTGACAATTTGCCGATAATATGCTAATAGATTCTATAATTAATATAATATAGACTTGAAAAGTAAAACCAACCCCTTGAACTTTTAACACTACTACAGTATAACGAGAATTTATCGAAGAGGATAGAAAAGAAGAAGGGGAAGAAGGAGAAAAGGAAGAAGAAGAAGAAAAAGAAGAAGAAGAAAAAGAAATAAGATATCATTTTTTAGGTGAAAACCGTCAAAACAGTTGAAACTTACGCACGCTTTCGTTCTCATTCTTACCGGAAATAAATTAGAAACCGGAAGTTCTACGAACAACCTAGTAAACAAAAACACGGGACTTGTGTAAATCCGGAAACACTCACCAACATACGTAGCTATATGTGACTATTCCTACAGAGATATACACATACACATGAGAACAGAAAAAGAAACATAATTATTTTGTATGTCTAATTGTTTTACAGGCAAATATACTCTTTAGTGTGATATACTATTATGTCATAACATCTATTAACATAGTGACTTGGTAAATCTTTAATTTCACTATCAATAGAAATACAATAATACATAAATGGAATGGTGATTTTTTAAGTTGATATATTTCACACATTTGTATTGTCGATTTACCATTCCATATACCATTTAAACACACACATATGTATATATACTTTTTTTATATATACAACAACAACTACATCAGGTAGACTTGCATAAACTTTTGATTTTTTTTTTCTATACATACATGAAAAATATATAATATATAATATACATTGTACATGAAATACAATTTCGTGGTGATACAATTTCAGCATTTGTATCCATGCTACCGTTGGGGATTAGGAAATAAATAAATCAGACAGACTCATATAAGCCTTTTTTGATTGATTTTTTTTCTGTACATTTTTACATACAATATACATATACAAGAAAAATATACATGAAAAAACTAATGAATGTAGAATCCAGCTTCATGGTGATAGAGTTGATACACTTGTATCTTATATTAACCTGGCCATCATCATTTTTTCATGTAGACTTGCATTAGCCCCTTTTTGATTATTTTTTTCTTCTTCTAAAATCTAGTACATGAATATCATGTTTATATAAACTAAAACATGGAATTATAATTCTATAGAGAATATACTTTCATTATGATACTCTATGCACACTTGAAGCTTTTATTTATCGTTCAATTTCGCTTTCAATTCAACATTATTTTCAGATAGACTTGCATAGGCCCAATTATGCTTTTTTCCTTTGCTTATAATTAGGATACACAAATAATAGCAATAAATGGAACAACCAAATGTAAAGCTAATACCTCACATTCCTACATTCTTATACAGTATATATATAATTAATGAACAATATAACTATAATATTTTACAATTTATGCACACACTTTTTATAAGTAGATTCATCTGGCCATCACAATACTAGATTGCACGAAATATGTACATTATTATTATTACATTCAGCAAGTCTCTTTACACTGACCTGTTTGAGTTCTTTGTCAATAGTCCAACACAAACGTTAATCCTTTACCGAAAATTTGAATCGTCACCCAGGTAACTGTCTAATAGGGTAGTGTCATATGTTATTCTTCTTTTCTTTCCATCTTTTAGCTGGGCAAACAGTTTCCCATCTATACTATATGAATGTTTCACACAGTCAAGATTGAATATCGCTTTCAGTCTCTCCTGATTTATCCTGGTCAGATCTTCAAACACACAATACCTTTGTCCTTTCAGGATCCTCCTGGCTCGAATAACCTCTGCTTTTTTACGTCTGTGCGTGAACTTACAAATAACTGTTCTAGGCTCAACAACTTAAATTGTCGACGGGCCGAAAAACAATACAAAATCAAAACAAAATGAGGAACCGCTTCTTCGTTTATCTTCTGATTTTTACGATACACAAATGCAAAACTTTTTTTCAATATGTTATTTTTTTTATCCAAATATAAGCCAAAACAAAAATTATTGTAGAACTCAGTTTTTAGCAAATGAACCCATATGTGATAAGTATATAACCGTGCCGTCGTTTTCATTATTCTTTCATTCCGTTTATTTAGATATTTAGTTTATCATATGACCAATAGCATATACTTCTCCATATCAGCCCAACGGGTTGATACAGGGTAGGATATGGAAATGGTTATATGATAGTTATTTTTGATTTGTTGTACTATTTACGGCCCATCGATAATGCAATTCATTTAGGGCCAAGCAACACTGTAAAGATAGATATTCACAAAAAATGAAAACATCAAATTAGAAATAAAAAGGTTAAAATATGTACAAATTAATGTAACGTACATCAACAGTGAACGATTCGGTTGTAAAATATGTCAGATTTTATTATTTAGATCAGTTGATATAATCCCATATTTATTGAACTGTATAAAATAAACTTTTCATATACGATACATTTTAGAATATTTTTCTACGAAAGCACCGCCTGTAATCATATAATATTTGACTGTAAATAGCTGATCACATGCATGCCATTCAGGGTAGTCTTCTTTCCGTAAAATGTAACTATGTGTAATGTAGGTATTGAACAGCGTAGTTGCGAAAGGACAACTTCCTCTCTACATTCTGCTCTACAAGTTGCACATAAACATACGTTAGATTGAACTGCGATAAGTTTGTACATTTTTCAGATAATTTACTTTGCCGATTCGTTTAAATAAAATTCGTTATTGAAGGTTTAAACTCCGAATAGTGAAGTTTAATGTTTTGAATGTAGGTAAGGAGCTACTTTCTCATGCTATGAAAGCGTGACGTCATAAGTCTGACATCGATGTCATGTCCCTGCTGCTGTTGTACGATACATTAAATTGAGCAGTAGGTTGGTTTAACCATAAGAGATGTTTTGCAGAAGTTATAATGACGGAGAAACCGTTTTTACATAGCACTGACTCGATGAAACTTGCACATGTAAAGCAACAGTAATACTACATCTATGCCATTATTCCACGTGGCAGGTAATGATCGTTTGTTGCACAGATGTACCCATTCACTTGGTGTGCGCTATGGAGTATTGCGCATACGTGCATGCATTCGTTCGCACACAACCTCATGTTCCTGTAAAATCAAAAAAAGACGTTTGTATAGCTCTGCTTACGTAGATTAATTCATTAAAACAGTACCAATGCCTTGTATTTACCTTTAGTGCAGTGTACTGACATGAAGTCATTGATACCCTGACCTGGAACATCTTGTCCGGGCTGTTACTTTTAAACCGTTAAAGACATGCTGATTAAACTTGCTGTATAACTGCAACACCTATATATGATATGCAATGCAGCGCCATAAGATCACTATGGCCTTTACCTCGGGTAAACAAAAATATCAATGTCTTGTATTTACCTTAAAGTTGGAATGTGATGAAAACGTCACCATGATTGTAGCATTGTCGGGGAACACTGTATGGCTTTTTATAACGGGGACTGTAAAATTAATATTTATTACATTGTATATCAGTGAGATAGCACTTTAAAGTCGGCATCATATCCGCGCTATCACAAGGAGGCAAGTACATCAATATACCCCGTCTCCAACACACATACACACATGCACGCATTCACAACATACACGTAGACACGTACTTAAATTATTTTAGCTGATAATAGGACGTTAAACAATATAAAACCAAACTGAACATTAAATGTTAAAATAAGGAAAAGTGCAACAAATTTTAAAGCGCATATTCTAGACTTGATAAATTATAACCTCATGATTATGTTTATATCGAGGTATTTAGATTACCTGAATTTCCGCGTCGGAGGAAGATCACACGCTCGCTTAAACCGAACCTGTTTACGACAGCCACTTTGTAAAGGCCAAAGTCTGGTGGAACAGGTTCAGTTATCCTTAGAGTGGCTGTGAATCCGTCCAAAGAAATATCAGGTTCCATTGTGACCGACGCCGGGGTCACGGTAAAAGTGTGTTTGTCATCCTCAGGAATGATGAAACCATTCTTACTCCAATACACTGCGCGGTGTGGGGTACCAGATATAAAATCAACAGCCATCACTGCTGTGTGTTTCGTTATATTGATAGTGACTGACTCTGCCAGTAAAGGAGTTGCTGTAAGTAATAACAAATGACATACTGGAACATTGCGTAAAACATTTATACAAAGAAAGGTTGCTCCACTGCTATTTTAGTAGCAGGAGGAGGGGCATATAGTGTTGCACATGTCCGTCCCATCGCGTCGCGTCCTGATTCAATGTAAACACTTAGCAACTTCATTTTTAACAGATTTTTGTCAAACTTTATACAAAGGTCAAGTATGAGTATACGTCGGACATCTTTGTGTTTCAGGGTTCCAAGGTCACGGTTGCTATATAGGAGGCATTCATGTCTTACAGACACTTTTTTTGTTTTATATGTATCGACGGTTTATTAGCAATTTGAGCAGTAAGCATCACTTCAATAAGATAATCTCTTTGGAGGCGGGAGGACAGACATGAGTTTGAATCGGCCGCTAGAGCCTTTGTGGCGCAAACGCTTTCGATCTTTGAATAAAACTTATTTTTTTACGATAAATGAAACATTTACGAATTACGGTTGCTCGTCTCCGAATGTGTCTCCATACGTTCCTTATTCGTGTCTATCAAAGCTTGAGGACCAGCATCTAAGCAAAGAATATAACGAACCATTTACAGTAAAACGCTTTGCTAGATTGCATTGACCTTCAGCAAACACGACAGAAAAAAAATTGTATGACTAGAAATTGTCATAGGCTTTACATGATTGCTTGCTACTATGACACTTTAGGACAGTTTAGGTTAAATAACATCACAGAAGAACACGTGTTTCTACAAATTTTGGTCAACATTTGACTGGCCCAAAAAGTTATTTTAGTCTTGGATTTTCGGATCGGCATGAAATGGAACAATGCTTGTGCGGGACCTCGTAAAAATCAATTGTACCAAGTGAGAAGTCAATTGGTGAAACCGTTCTTGAGAAGAAGTCGAAAATGTACCAGCCAATCAGAGATCAGGGCAGCCATATTGAATTTTCAAGTTGGCACAAAATGATACAACACTTGTTCAGGACCTCAAAAGGATTAATTGTACCAAGGTATAAGTCAATTGCTTAAGTCATTCTCGAGAATAAGTCAAAAATGTCTGAGCTAATCAGAGACAAGGGAGGCCATTTTGGATTTTGGGATCGGCACTTAATATATCAACACGTGTTCGGGACCTTATACGGATCAATTGTAATACGTATGGAGTCTATTGGTGCGGTAATTCTTTAGAACAAGTAAAAAATGTCTCGGTCAATCAGATGTTAGGGCGGCCATCTTTGATTTTTGGATTAGCTTTTTGGTGTTGGTTTTTCAAAAAGATCAAAGACAATAATGAACACATCATATGACGTTAACGGGAAAATGTTTCAGAATCAATAAACATATGAAATTTATCAGTTAACCATTTTTCAAAAAGGTTGAAAAATAAAAAAGTTAAAAAAAAAATGGTGACCTTTGACCCAACAGCGAGGAATTTTTATTTTACCCTTTTTGTATTAACATGTAATGAGGAGAGGACAACCCTGAAGAATATCTACAAATAATATAATTTCAGGAATGCTGTATGATATTTTTTTTTATTTATGACCTATTCTATATTTTTACCTATGACGTCATGGCGGCAATATTGGATTTTTGACCTACTTGAAAATGTTGCAATAACACCTTTAGAACTTGGCCTACAAAATACTTGAAAGACTACACATCTTATACCAATCAAAAGATTAGCTGCATACAAAATCATGGCAGGAGAATAATAATAATAAGAAACATACCAAAACAATAGGTCTTTTCAGCATAAGTGAAAAGCCCTTACAAATCTCAAATCTCGTTTCGAGACAGCAGGTGTCGTTAGATTTCTAAACTACATAACAATTGTAGTCCTATTTTAAAAATAAGTAATCAAAGCCTCTTTTACTCTTCAAGTTTACGTTTGTATTGTACCTTTTTGTTTGTTTGAGGTCATTTTCCTTAACCTGTTTAAATGTCCTCTTCTTTTGTGATGCTCCATTAAGTGAGTAATTCCCTTTGATACAATCGATGTCTTTGCGAAATACGAAATGTTTCAGTTGATTTTTAGGTCACCTGAGACAAAGTCTCAAGTGACCTATTGCGATCGCCTTTTGTCCGTCGTCGTCCGTCGTCCGTCGTCCGTCGTGCGTCCGTAAACAATTTACATTTCCGACTTCTTCTCCAAAACCCCTGAACCAATTTCAATGAAATTTTGCAGGGACCTTCCATGGACAAAGGTCAACAAAAATAGTTGCCGGTTTAGTCCTAAGCCCTCAGGGGCCTGAGGGGCGGGGCCAAAAAGGGTCAAATTGACTAAAATTTCAAAAATCTTCTCCTCCAAAACCCCTGAACCAATTTCAATGAAATTTTGCAGGGACCTTCCATGGACAAAGGTCAACAAAAATAGTTGCCGGTTTAGTCCTAAGCCCCCAGGGGCCTGAGGGGCGGGGCCAAAAAGGGTCAAATTGACTAAAATTTCAAAAATCTTCTTCTCCAAAACCCCTGAACCAATTTCAATGAAATTT